TCAAGCTGGTCGGCGAAGGCTCTGCCAATGCCGTCTTTGAGATAGAAGTCCCGCCGCGCGATCGTGCCGGCCGTGACTTCAAAGGTGAGAGAGATGTTGGCGACGCCCTCTTTTTCTTTTATTTTTTTTTCTTTCCTCCAAACAGGGAAAGAAAAAGAAAAAGGAACCAAAAATACCCTTGAAAATAACATGGCGCTAAAGACATGGTAGGATATCTTTTGAGGGTTGCCAAGGTGCCCTCACTCGGAGCTGCGCCGACTTACAACTATGTCTTTCAGCAGCAGTTCCTCCAGACCACAATCAAGCCCATCCTCGGCGACCATGTAGTAAACCAGGAGCTGGTCGTGCTCCATAAGACGGGCATCATCCAAGAGCTCAATAACCTTCTCCAGACTATAGACCACACCCGCAAGGACAAGTTCAAAGGGACATATGTCGGGGAGACTGACTTGGGGTTCCTCGTAGAGGACATGAGACCTCAAGGTAGGATGACAACTCTGGCAAACCCCCTTTGCATACGCCCATTCCTCATGAGCTGACGGGAAAGCATTACAGATCCAGAGACTTGCACTCTCGTCGAGTTTAAGCCTAAGTGGCTGTCGCAGTCCCCCTCTGCGCCAAAGAACGCCATCAGATGCCGCCAGTGCGCCATGGAGTTGCGGAACCTCGTTAAGGACTTGTCCAGGAATAAAGCACGACCAGAACAGAAACCATGCCCTCTGGCTCTTGTCGGCTCGGATTCCCCCTGGCCAGTCCGCTCCCCGTTCAGAATGGCCCCGCATCTTGAAAACCAGGGTAGTAAGGAGTTTTACTTGGAAGCCCTGGGGACCATCCCAACCCATCCGGCCATTCGTGACTTGAAGGCGCAGCAGGACATTCACGACACGGTCGGTCCGTTGCATGCCGCGTCGTCGGATCCATTCCTCCCTCTGGCCATGACCCTCCGCGACTGCACATGTTTTGCCCAGATACACAAATGCACACCGTCTGTGCGGATTAGGTTCGGCGACTTTGATTGGAAGGATCCCCAGATCAAATTTGAACGATGGCGAGGCGTCGAGGAGGAACTCATAGAGAAGGGGTTCTATACAGCCGAATGGATCCTTTGCGATGGCACCTTCTACAGGCCGCCAACGCTCTGTCTCCTCGAGCACAGCCCGATAGCGTCCAAAAAGGATATCGCCGTCATCGAAATACGCGATTCGAGAGAAAACAGATCCACTGACCCGCAACAGCATGCTTTTCCATTGCAGACCCCGCCGGGGACCAAGATTCACAGTTTTCAGACGGACACAGCCGTCCTAAAGCGACTTCTGGAACCATATAAAAAGGAGGCGCCGGATCTCGCAAAACCTGCGCGAAAAAAGTCGGGATCATGAAGACGGGCGGCTTTTGGTTTAGTCTAGGAGTTTTTTTTTTCCTGCCAATTTCTTCAACAAGATTTATATTAGGAAGGCTTCAGTGTACGCACTGACCTCCATCGTGGACGGCAATCCATCATGAATGAGGCGTTCAGACTCGGCTCTTATCAGACTTAGCTTGGCGTTGGGAGACTGCACAGGGCCCCCCTTCCCGTTGATGGCGAAGGGGAACATTTGCATTGAAATGTGGCTGCGTGGACGGCAAATGGGGTCCTTTCCTGGCCTGGAAGTTTTTTTTTTAGTTTTGTTTGTTTGTTTGTTTTTACCCTTTTCTGGTCAAAAAATTTCCGGGTTACTCAAATCTTAATTCTGGTACAAAAATATTCTTATATACGTAGTATATTTAAAATTATCAATCAACGCCGTTTGTCCCATGGATACGTCATTTGTACATCATCAGCTTCATATATCCGAAATGGTGAAACTGAGCAAACTGCCCACGGTGAGACCAATGACGAGACACAAGCCCATGAACCCGCCTGTTGCTTCCCGCTCCCCCTCATCAACCCACTCTCCCGAGGCCATCATGAAACTTGAGCCCAGCCAACCGTTGGTGAGGCCAAAAGTGAGTTGTACGACGAAGAGATAGAAGAAGTCACTTGGCACGACGGCACCCCGCCCACCAATGTTACACAAGAGGTACAACGGCAGGAAGACGACTCGTGCAACAGAACACAGGAACAACACAAACGGCCGGTCCCTCAGCGTAAAAGGTATCGCGGTTGCAATGCGTCCACCCAAATCACCCAAGTTCCAAAACACGAAGCCAAGAGGAACAAACGCCGCTGGGCGGAATATCGCACCCGCGTCCTCCTGAACGGAATGGATCTTGGCGGTAAACACGGGGAAGAACATGGTCACGGCGAAGGTGACTGCCACGCCGACAGCCAGCCAGCGCAGCTTGAAGAACAGCGTCCACAGGGATGTAACTTTTCTGGCTGCGCGCTCTGCCTCCTCAATGCTGTTCATCGACTCGGCCATGCGTTCCACCAATTTGTCTTCGATGCGGCGATTGTGTCGTCGAACAAGAGGGACGAGTGCGATGAATGTGACGACGGATATCACAACCGCGGCGAGGAAGTAGAAAAAGGCAGACGTTTCGCCCTGGCTTGCAGCGTTGCCTGCTGAACTCTTCTCGGGCGGGAACAGCAACACGGACGTGACTTGTGCCACGGCCGGCAAAACCCCCGACACGCCTTGGCCGGCCATGAGCGCCTGCATGTACTCGGGCCTTCCGAAGCTGGCTGCAAATGCAAACGCTCCATTCTGTATGAGCCCCGTCGCCCAGGACGAGAGGCACACCATTACGAGGAGGAAGGCGAAGTACACGCTGGGACCGGCGCCGAGGAAGAAGGTCGTGGAGCATGTGAGGAGTGCGAAGACGACGCTATTGATCATGAGAGCGAGGTTGATGCGGAATGGGTACGAGGCCGAGTATTGGATGTTGCTGAGGATGAGGAGCACCGAGAGGTTGGTGATTGTCGAGACGGTGAGGATGGCGGATTGGAAAGTGCTTTGGATGGAGGGTGCGGCGGCGAAGCGCGAGGAGAAGTAGGGCGCTGCGGCGAGGAACATGTTCCTGCTCGTCGTGGTAAGCGATTGCGATTGCGATTGGGGTTTGAAAGGAGAAGGGTAGGGACAGAGAAAGCTATACCAGGCCCATAACATGGCAACGCCGAGGATGCCAAAGATGGTGTATTCGATCCATGAGAAGGGAATCAAGTCGGTGTCGGGGGCGATGACGGACGACTCCAGCGCCGTGTCGTCTGAGGTGGCTAGAGGCTCGTACTCCTCTGCCTGGGAGCGGCTGATGGGTCTCGAACGATCCATGATTGACTTGAGGTGATGCTGTCCGAGTCTGACGATGGTGTGTCGAAAGAGCAGGTGGCAGTTTGGGGGCGAGACGAGCTGGTGGTCGGAATTCGGAGTCCCGGCTTACGAGGAGGATGAAGCTGCTGGGCAGCTAGGTCGTATACATGACTACTGGCGACTTGGAAGCTGCACGTGGACAAGAAACGGCGATGTTGTACGGAGTAGACTGAAGGCTTGGACGGCGAGGATCGGCTAGTGTGTGATGTCAGGTCTCTGCGACAGCGGCACTGGGACCAATGGGATGGCTTGGGGGTCTCCACTGTGCGCCCGTCGACGCGAGGCATGGACTGACTGGTGTTGGTGGATTTGGATTTGGACAGAAAGATCTTTTTTTATGAAGACGTGTAAAGTAGTTTATTATTGCATGTTATTTGGCTAGTTGGATTATTTCTTTCCGCTGAGAATGTATGTCACATTTGTGAGGCGGAGCCAATCACGCATCGGGTATTGACAAGACGGCCACACTCACCCATCAGGCTCGACGTTCAAATTCATACTATCAAATGGGAACCTGGATGCTGTGGCGCGGCGAACTCGGGCACGTACCTGCCTGGGCACCGATAAAACCTCACTACACGTGCCTGAACTTCACTTCGCTTATTCCGTAGACGCACCAGACTCCGAGTATCGTATCAACAAACACCACTTCTAAGCAGATCAGAATGTTTATTAACCTGGAAGACCATGTTGCCAAATCTACAGCCACCGCTGTTCACGCCGGCGACACGACCTCTTGCTAGGCAGCTAGCTGTGACGAGGTCCAACTACTGCATGTCTTCCTAGACGCTGGGGCTGATGTCGATGCCGAAATGTCACCATCTAAAAGGAAATGTGAGAGCTCTCTACGAGAAGAAAAAAAAAAAAAACAGACTCGATTCCGTAAAGTAGTTCAACACTGGTACTTTACCATGGCACCCAACGAAGAAACCCGTCCTTCACATCCCTGCTGACTCATATCAAGCTGGACTGATGGAGGAGAATCATTCGATAATCCCACAACAGGCGAGAACACAGTACGAGAGGTTGTCCAATTGGATAGAGAAAAAAAGTTTTTCAATTTTCATTGATGCCCTATTCTTCCGCCGCTGGTATCTGTCAGGCTTTAATCTTCACGGGTCATTTGATGTGGACTATTATGGTCTTATTAATAAATGACCCTTTATAAACACTCTGAAATGTTCAGCAATAGCAACACCAACGTCATACTAGTTTTTTTTTTTGGTTTTTTTTTAGACAAGGCCGTTCCTAGTCCGCCTCCAGTGTAACTAGATGATGCGATATAGCCAATCAGAGGCTCGTCGCACAAAAGGACATGAGCATTAAAGATTGACCCCTGTTCGCGTTGACGGGAGCTAGTCGACACCACGGGCCTGTGTCTGCTCATGTCTGGCGCCTTCGAATGTTCCATGGCGCCTGAGCTCCCCTGTGGCAGTGATTTGTACCCACTATTGCAGACTCTGGTGCTGTGGGTGGTGCCTGGCATCAATTGATGTTTTGGGCTCCTGTTGCTGGGCTGCGGCTCGCCAAGTCTCGACAACCTGAAAGCTCATGACGCAGCTCCGGCGCAGCGCCCACACCATCCGCACCATGACGCCTCCTCGTCGTTGCTCGGGCCATGGCACACAACAAGCATGCATATTGCCATTATTTGCCGCCAGCCTGTGATGATTCCTTCGCGCCCGCACGCATTCTCCCAGGTCACTAGCCATGCCTGAGCCGGCTCACTCCCCGCAGCGAGACCGAGCGCGGCATCGTGACCGAGACCGCGAGCGAGATCGCGACCCGTCGCAGCACAGCAAACGCCTGAGCATCACAGACCGCATTCTCGGCTCCCTCAACCAAGCCCGCAAGGAAACATCGGCTGCCGTGCAGCGTCGCACGTCGACATCGGCATCGACGTCCGCCTCGGCCAGGCAGTCTCCCATTCCGCGCATTCGCGAATGGCTCAGCACATGCAATACCCAGCATGGCAGGCACTGCAGCGGGACGGATAGCCGTGACGTCCCAACCTGGCGCCCAATTTACCTGATAGACTGCGATGAACGCTGCTTGGTCCGCTCCAAGCCCGCCGACAGATACTCGGCCCTCAGCTATGTCTGGGGAGCCTCAAACCCGCGAGCCACCGGCTCCGACGCCGTCGCCCAGCTGTTGACCACCAACCTCGATGCCTACCAGCTCGGCCTGCCAGACAAGGATGTACCGCAAACCATCCTCGATGCCATATGGCTCTCTAAAAAGCTTGGGATACGGTATCTTTGGGTCGATCGCATGTGCATAGTCCAGGATGATGAACAGGACAAGTCCGAGCACATTGAACACATGGCTTACGTGTTTGCCAACGCCTGTTTGACCATTATTTCTGCCTACGGCGATGTTCACACTGGCCTGCTTCCCCTGGATCCGCGCCGCCCTTCTCGGACACCCAGGCAGGGTAACCCAGATCATAGTGACTTGCTGTTGTCGTCAAAATGGAACACGAGGGGCTGGACACTGCAGGAGCTTGTCTATTCGAGACGAGCAGTCTTCTTCTTTGAAGATGCCGTCACCTGGGAATGCCACTGCGACCTGTGGCAGGTAAATGCTACAAACATGACCAAAATACTTCGTGGTAAAAGGCCTGCTTGTACGAATCGATTGTCCGAGGCGGCATTCGGATTCCAACACACAGAGTGGCCTGACATGGATGAATATGCTCGCCTGGCCATGGACTATAGTATGAGGAGGATCACAATTGTTGACGACTCCATCAGGGCCTTTGCCGGCGTCACGCACGTATTGTCTCGCATTTTTCAAGGTGGTTTCGCCTACGGCATGCCTCTCATGTTCATTGACATTGCCCTCCTCTGGAGACCTCAGGCGACAATTCGACGACGGGCCATGTCTCGCCCGCCATTCCTCCCGTCATGGTCCTGGATGGGCTGGTGGTTTGACGGTATTCCCGTTGACCTCACCCTGTGGAGGGCGGCGGCGGACTATGTCGAGGAAACGCAGGCGGTAAAGCGAGGACAAGAGTCCAAGAGGTTTAAGCCGACGCACCCGTTTCGCATCAAGACAATGGTGGTCTGGAGTCTGTCAGACAGGGCAAATTCTGTACCCATTGACAATACCGGTTTGCGAATGCGAGAATTCCGCTCCCGCAAAGGCGCCGGCCAGGCTCTGCCCCCCGGGTGGTCCAAGTCCGGCACTCACTTCAAGCACGACAGCGACGACTTCACCCTGTTCAAGTACCCCGTTCCGGTGGAAGATGTCCCCGAGGACGGCGCGTACGAGTCGCGACCTACAGAGTTAAGCATGCCTGGGCCGCTGCTCTATTTCCGGACAACGACTGCATTCTTCGACGTCGACTACGCCATCTCCATGGCGCCCAAGGACATGCCGAACCCTCCGGTGGCCATTGGCAACATCTTTAGTAGGTCCAGCCACTGGATAGGAGAGCTGCGAAGCCATGACGGCTGGCTGGGGGTGCAATCATCCAACTACGATGGCGAGGAGAAGCTGGAGTTTATTGCTATTTCGAGCGCCATGGAGCGCAAGGGCTCGTATGTATTTCCAATGGACAGGTTTTCCGAGAGCATGGACGACGACGGTGTGGTGCAGTTTGTCAATGTGTTGTGGATTGAAAGAATATCGGGGGTGGCTTATAGGAGAGGCATTGGTCATATTTTGCAAAAGGCTTGGGATGTCGAGGCCAAGGAGGAAGTAGACATTTATCTTGGCTAGTCAAGTTGCCTAGAAAGAGCAGAGGAGAAGGGTATCAAGCTGGTTTGCATGGTATTGGGAGCATGATCTGATGTTTGGGCACGTTTTGGTTTAATTTTGCTTGCTCTTTTATCGGTTGAGCTCTAAAATTTCTTGTATTCCTATGCGCAGATTTTTCCTTTTTTTTTTTTCCAAGTTGTCTTTTTGGTGCTCTGTCGAATTGTCATTGCACATCATGTGACGCTGGTATTCTATTTTGCCCTCTTTTCTTGGGGGGCCTAAATGAAGTACTGAGTTTTGAGTTCCACTCTAAATGGCGTCGAAAATCTCTCCCCAATGTTTACAACGCAAAATCCATTTCCGCGTCTGTCGAGCGCTTGCTGACCAAGCTAGCAGCGGTCGGACCTGGCCCTCCCTCTTGAAGAACAACTTGAATCACCAAGGCTCGTGGGCTGTACTCATCGTGGGAGGCTCTCGATTTCGTCAGTGCTGTGTTTTGGTTCGGATGCTCGTCCTGGTAGAGGGTTACATCGGACGAGCCGCCCACGAGGCTTGTGCAGCGAAGCAGCAACCATGTGTTGACGGATTTGGAATCCGGCCAAGGGGTATGGAGTACCGTCTTTTGGAAGCCTCCGGATTTGCCGGTGGCTGGTTGACGCCATAGGCACATGGGCTAGAAACTACTTACCCGTTCGACCTTCATTCCGGGGAAGAAACACAAGATGCAATACATCCTGGACGACGTTGCCAGGAGGCGGTATACACCAACACAATGGAAGATCATACTTGACCGTAACTGGGCCGCGGAACGGAGGGTGTAGTGTGACCTGGCGAGCTGTATCGGCTGTTGGCTGCAGGGGCTTTCGCTGGAGCTGTCAAACGAGGGACCACTTCAATGACCTGACTATATTGGGTTCTCTCGAAAAGCAGGACGCACGAAGCGTAACGGATTGCATGATACATGTTCCTCATCACTTCTGGGAACCTTGAATTTAGCAACAGTGGCCTCGTCACTCGCACGTCTTCGCGAATGGGCGGCCACAATGGGAAAGCCAAGAGAACCCCGCAGCAATCGACGGCGTCCAAGTTGGGCAATGCGATCTTCTGGCATCAAGGCAGGGATATATCATGTTGGTCTCGCAGGTACGTAGCCAACCAAGACTCGCGGGCATGGTGAGAAGTGAGAAGCGCCCCCCTGGCCATCACCCTTGTCATCGGGCACTCGGTGGTACATACGTACATGAGCAGTGCGGTCCTCATCACGGGCTGCCCTCTCTAGTTGACATGGTGGCGGTGGTTTCTGCAGGTGGCTTACGGATGGGCCCGTAGGCTATCTCTGCTATTTGCCGTGATTTGACAGGATGGCTATTGGCTGTTGCCGTCCATGCTGTGCTGACCACCAATGCAGCAAAAATCGATTGCGACTCACCGTGCTGGCAAGCCATACAATATTGGTACCGTTAATGCTACAATATCCCTGGGGATCACGTCCTTGACTGGTAGGAATGTCCCTTGCACAACATCCGGACCGCCTTCCGCCATGGATTGAATCACATTTTTATGGGCCGAACGGCTCCTTGCCAATCTTGCGTCCTACCATGCGACTAAATTGACTTTGGCGTGTGTATTAGACTCGGTACAGCAGGGCTTTCTTTCATTGGCATCTTCCCAATCCCGGCGGCATATGGGTCCAGAGGTACGCCATAGCGCATGGGGACTCTGCGATTAAGGATTAAGTTTGAGATGCCTCGGGGACTGGACGCGGGAATAGTGGTATCTGTACGCCGTTTGACCGGTTGACCGGGCAGACATTCGGTGAAGTGGTGGAGTGTGGTGTGATTCGGACGCGAGCAACGCCACTGATACACCCAGATTCAAGGAATCAACCGGCCATGTTCTCCTCCGTGAGCTAATTGTTAATACGGAGTGGTGATGCTGCCATCCATGGGGGCTGTTTTAATGCATTTGCTCCGGGCCTATCAAGGTCGACATTCATCCCGTCTCTAACGTGGGCCCCATGGCCAAGCCAATGGGTTTCAACGTATTAGTGATGGACACTGGAGAGAGCTCTGGGTACATTCGAATGATTCTACGGCAAACGCTTTCGAAAATGCCGTGGAGATCAGGCCGTTTATGTTTCTGGTGGTCAAACCATCCCATCCTCGCCGAACAAGGTTCATGGGCCGTGCAGTTTCTGGATGAAGAAAGAGTTCCTCCTGTGATGCCGTTTGGAAACGAATTACGACAGTTACGACCTGGTGTTGGCAAGCGGAATTCTACACGCTGCGATCCCCTCGGATGGCTAATCAACTCGTTGAAGAGAAAAAGCAAAGCGGGCTTGGCCCGACCAAAGGCAGTGAGGTGGCTCATGCAGAGCTCAGTTGCATCGACGGTCAGTCTAAACCACCCATGTAAAAATGGACGAGACTTTTGGAGCTTGTCCTGCTCATCCGAGCCTTGTTGGTAATCCCGGCGGGCGCTTCAATGCACTCGACGTCACACAACGTGGGTAGAGTCTCCCAAGAGAATTCCAGGGAGTCTTGTTGCTCTATGCATACGAAGCACACTGCAACGTCCTTCAAAGTTCCAATGCTACTTACTACTACTCGTCTACACGAACCCTTTGGTTCCACATCATGGGTCCTCTTGGAGTCCTGCGTCAGTTCAAAGCTAGCCCAGACCTTTGCGGGTACCTTGGGCACGTTTCCGTCATCGACCATTTAGCTTCATTGCCAATGTCCCGTCATGCAGAGTGATGAGACTTCGAGAAACGGGCTAGTCTTGCATGTATAAGTAGGCTAGGCCGCCTCCCATGCGACCCCCTCGGCTTTGATTAATGACTACTGATGGGCCATGTCTCGTTGAAAAGGCTGTTATTGACCACTCATCTCTCATCCTGTCTTGTACCGAGTATATAAACATGGTTCAAACACGTTTGGTGGCCATTTCTCTGGCCTTGGCCAGCTTAGCTTCTTCCCAATGTCCCTTCGCCGACCCAGGACGCCTCGCTGCGAGGGCTGAAGGCCGTCCCGAGTCTCGCGAACACCTAAAGAGCTACGAAGTTGACGACGGTGATGGGTTCCTTACTTCTGATGTGGGCGGTCCTATTGAGGACCAGAACAGCCTCAAGGCTGGAGAGCGCGGCCCGACTTTGTTGGAGGACTTTATATTCCGGCAGAAAATAACACACTTTGACCACGAAAGAGTAAGTGACTTACACCACGGGAAACAAGAAGGTATTGATAGTTGGCTAACTATGTATCTGTATATAGGTCCCCGAACGAGCAGTCCATGCTCGAGGCGCTGGCGCCCATGGAACGTTTACCAGCTACGGGAACTATAGCAACATTACTGCTGCGTCCTTTTTGGGGGCGAAGGATAAGCAGACTCCAGTATTTGTCCGCTTCTCTACTGTCGCCGGCTCCCGGGGTAGTGCGGACACTGCTCGTGATGTTCATGGATTCGCAGTCAGACTGTGAGCCCCCCCCTTTCTTGTGATAGCGCACAAGGCAATTGCATGCTAATCGCTAAATAATTAGCTACACCGACGAGGGCAACTTTGACATTGTCGGGAATAACATCCCTGTTTTCTTCATCCAGGATGCAATCCAGTTCCCTGATCTCATTCACTCGGTCAAGCCGCGATCGGACAACGAGATCCCACAGGCGGCCACTGCCCACGACAGCGCATGGGACTTCTTCACCCAGGAAACCTCTACTCTTCATACCTTGTTCTGGGCCATGGCTGGTTATGGAATTCCGAGAAGCTTTCGCCACATGGTAGGTTTACCAATCATCAACACAACACACGCTGTCGCGACGCTTGCTCTGTGTACACAGTAAAGGCTAATACGCATCTCAGGACGGCCACGGCGTCCACACCTTTCGACTCGTGAATGAGAATGGCGACACTAAACTTGTCAAATTTCACTGGATAAGTAAGCAAGGGAAAGCCAGCTTGGTCTGGGACGAGGCGCAGCACGTTGCTGGCAAGAACGCCGATTTCCACAGACAGGACCTCTTTGATGCCATTGCATCAGGCAACTTCCCGGAGTGGGAGCTTAGTATCCAGATGATCAATGAGGATCAGGCTCTTGCCTTCGGGTTCGATGTTCTTGACCCTACCAAGATTATCCCCGAGGAGCTTGCTCCCCTGCAGCCTCTCGGTCTTCTTAGACTCGACGCTAATCCTGCTAATTACTTTGCCGAGACTGAGCAAATCATGGTACGTTTGGAGAAGCACACGTGGTTATCCATGTATAAGACGCTAATAAAGACTTAGTTTCAACCCGGACATATTGTGCGAGGTATTGATTTCACAGACGATCCTTTGCTGCAGGGTCGCATTTTCTCCTACCTGGATACGCAGCTCAACAGACACGGCGGTCCCAACTTTGAACAGCTTCCCATCAACAGACCCGTTGTTCCCATCCACAATAACAACAGAGATGGTGCGGCACAGAACTTGATTCACAAGAACACTGCTCCTTGTAAGTTCACGATTGATTTGCGTGTTACCGTGTACCACGCGTATCAAGCGAGTTACTGACAGCCAGTAGATACTCCCAACTCTCTGAACAAGGGATTCCCCAAGCAGGCCAACCGGACTCAAGGCAAAGGCTTCTTCACCGCTCCCGGCCGCCAGGCTTCTGGTGCTCTCGAGAGACGACGAAGCAGCACTTTCCAGGACCACTGGAGCCAGCCTCGTCTGTTCTTCAATTCCATCACCCCCATTGAACAGCAATTTCTCATCGACGCCATCCGGTTTGAGACGAGCGGGCTCTCAAGAGAAGTGCAGCAGAACGTCTTGGTACAGCTCAACAAAATCAGCCACGACATCGCCGTCCGGGTTGGCAAAACGCTTGGTCTTGAGGCCCCGGCCCCCGACGACACGTACTATCACAACAACAAGACCCGGGGCCTCTCCATCTTTGGCCAGGAACTGCCCACCATTGCCACCCTCCGCGTCGGCGTCTTGGCCTCCACCGAGTCGAGCGATTCTCTCACGCAGGCGAAATCCCTCAAGGACGAGTTCAAAGCCAGCAATGTCACTGTCACGATTGTCGGCGAGTCTCGTGTTGACGGCGTTGACCAGACGTACACTGGTGCCGAGGCGGTTGGTTTCGATGGCATCATTGTAACCGACGGCACGGAGAAGCTGTTTGACGTCAAGAACAAGTCTACGCTTTTCCCGCCCGGTCGTCCCCTCCAGATCGTCGTGGATGGGTACAACTGGGGTAAGCCGGTTGGGTTCTTGGGTAAGGCAAGGGATGTCGTAGGGGCTGCGGGAGCCAGCGAGGGTGCTGGCGTGTTCATCAAGGATGGCGCTGCGGATATCGTGGACGAGTTCAAAAAGGGTCTTGCCACGTTCAAGTTTACGGATCGGTTTGCGCAGGATGGACAATGAGCTTCCACGAGATTGGATGGATTTGATGGGGTGTGACGTTTTGATTACCGTTGTGAGATATGTGATAATTGACCTATTCTTCCACCTTGAGCGTGACGACGGACGATGATTGTTATGATGGTGCACCAGCCATGTTCCTAACCGCGAGGTATTGTCGGCCAACATGTGCAATTGGGGCTGGTTATAGGCGTAGGGGAAGCCTATTGTCTGGTATTCTTTACACTCGTCACCATGTTTACATTGTATTGGAGTGTTGGTCGGCCCCTGCTTCTAGTTCTCACTCGAGGGGGGGATTTATTCGTGGTAAGCCAAACTCAACTGGTTGCAACCATGACGGGCAAGCATTTCCGTCAGTTGAATCCCTGCAAAGGCGTTGCCCAATCGGCGTTGTATGGTACGCCCAGATTCCGCCTGCGTGTCAGCCTGCTTTCGTTGTAGATTTGTGTTGCTCACTTTTCAAGCAGTCCAAACCCCGACGGCGATTATTTCATGATTTGTCAAATCACTTGTGTGACGTGTCATGTCTGATGCTGCGATACAAGGCATCTAATCCCACGTTGAGATCCGTGTTATAAGCGGCTTATCCGCACACGGCTTTCTTACCTTGGTTGTTGGGCTCGAGTTGGCATTCATCACGGCCATCTCCATCGCCGCCAACATGGCTGAAGCGCCTCGCACGATTCTGCTCGTCGTCACTACCGGCGGCTTCACACACGCGGGTAAGTAAAGTGCCGCAGCCAAAAATCGTTTTATCCGTCATGTTGCAACTTACACGGAGTTGCCTCGTGCAGCGCCGGTTCTGGAACTAGGCAAAGTTCTCTCCGCCCGCGGCCACAACATCGAGTTTGCCACTCTCGACGGCCAAGAGGGCTGGATCAGCGGCTATGAATTCGTCAGCAGAGTCCATCTTCTCGGGCCGGGCCCAACAGAGGAGCAAATGGACAGTCATTACCTTCGCATGCGTGACTGGGACATGTCCAAGGGGATAGCAGCCGCCATGGAGTCCAAGTTCATGTTCGACTCGTTCTGGCCCCAGACGTATAGAGGCTTGAAGGCCATCATGGAAGACGGCTCCGGTGCGAAACCTAGCATGATGGTGGCAGACTTCTTCGCCGACGCCGTCAGGGACATGCACTTTGAGTACCATGTGCCCCTGGCCGTGGTGTGGCCACAGATGCCCCCTCTCATGTTTCCCTGCCCCTACATACCGGGCGAGCCAGGCTTCCAAATAGAGGGGACCTTGACGTCGGAAGATGCGTCCATGTGGTTGCGGTTCAGAAACGAGTGGGTGGTGGTTCGGGCGCTGCCGCACATCTCGAAGCTGTCCAGCCTCACCAGGGCCATGCGCAGGAAGGCCGGCGTCGAACATGACTTGCCGAGCCCCACGAAGCCAGATTACCTGGTGCTGGTCAATTCGTTTTACGGGCTGGAGATCCCAAAGGACCTGCCGCCTCTGTGCGCGCCGGTAGGACCGGTTCTGAGCGACGAGTTTCCTCCCCTGGACGATGCCACGGACAAGTTCCTCGCCGGACACGGCAAGACGGTGTACATTGCGCTGGGTACGCACGTCATCCTCACGGACCGCGACACGGCCAAGATTGTCGACGGGCTGCTGCGACTCCTTGCAGAAGGCCTGGTTGACGGCGTGATTTGGGCAGTGGGCAGAAGCGGCCGCCAGGACATGGACGGCAGCCACGCATTCGAGCACCGGGGCCGGACTCTGCGGCTGGGGGACTTGATCGACGGCAGACACCCAGACTGGCTGTTCACCCTGTTCGCTCCCCAGCGGGCTGTACTGGACAGCGACTCGGTGTGTCTGTACCTTACCCACGGCGGCGGCTCCAGCGCCAACGAGGGCGTCTACCACGGAAAGCCGATGCTGGCCATGGGCATCTTCTCGGACCAAGTCGCAAACATGACGCGTCTTGTGGCGGCCGGTGTGGCCGAGCCGCTGAACAAGTTCCGCTTCACGTCGGACGAACTGTACACCAAGGCGCGGAAGATGCTGCGAGACGAGCAGGGCCTCTATGCGAGGAACGTGCTGAGGCTGCGGCGCATTGCCCGTGTGGCCGCCCGTCGAAAGCACCACGCGGCCGATTTGATGGAGGAGCTGATGTACGACGCCGAGCTGAGGTTCCGGGGAGACGGGGAGCTGCGGCCCATGCATTTGCAGACTGCGGACGCGAGAATGCCCTTTTACAAGGCTAGAAACTGGGACCTGATGGCTGCTGGAGCCGTTGTAGTTGCTGCAGTGTCGGGCCTTGGGATTACTCTGGGGAGGGCGTTGTGGATGCAGAGGAAGCTGGTCAAGAGCTCGGTTGAATCCCTATTTTCAGCTTCTTGAGAGGTCAGCATGGTTCCATCCGAGGCACACGTGGTATCTGTTAGTTTGGACGGGCGACGAAGTTGACAACTCCTCTCACAATATAGCACGTTCTGTCGTGCTGCCTTTTATCGTGTGTCGGGGTAAGTAGATGAGCTAGTCAGCGAGACCACGCCCATTGGGCAACCATGTGAAAACGCCGACTTGGGAAGAAACACTTTCATTGAAGAATTAAACCGTGTGGTTGACTTGGTCTTGAGTGGAGGAACGCAGACCAGCAAGCAGGCAAGGCAGTTTCAGGGGGTTGTAGTAGACCCTCGCGTGCCGATGTTTCCGAGGAAGCAACGGAATTTGTGTCTTCGTAATACCAAGTTCACGAGAAGCAAACCGCTTGTAGGGGAACAATACCATGGGCATCATGAGGCAGGTTGCATTCACCACGTTTTGTTCGTCGGACACTATGCTGCTGCTGCTGACAATGTTGACTTTCTTTCCACATCTAGTGTAAAAAGATATTCATATATTCGTGTATTCCATCTTCTTTTCCAACTTGCTAAAGCAGCCCAGGTCGGATCCGCCCTACAGGATGCCATGTTGTCGTCGCCTCTGCACTTTGTGTTTTACTGCCAACGCTTCTCGTTGGCCGGGAATTGCTCAGCGATGAGCAGAAAAGACTCTAGCCTGCTTCACCCGCTCTGTGAGTCCCAAGTAATCATCGCTTCGCAGCCTCCCTCATCTCGCTCCTCTCCTGGACAACCTCGGAAACGGCCCTCGCAACATCCGACTCGAGTCTCGCAAACCCCCTGACAACACCGTCCCGATCACCCTTGCTCATCTCCTGGCTCATCTTGAACTTGCCCTGGAGCTTGTCAATGGTGACCTCGATGCCGATGATGTTCTTCTTGAGCAGCTCGATGTAGCGGTCCGGCGCATCCGTCACCTTCCACTGATCGGGGCGGCCGTTCTGGCCGGTATAGTCCATGATGGAAATCTCGGTGTGGTTGGTCAAATCGGTGATTTGGCGCGTAAGAAAGTTGGACGTCTCATCTGACTTGGAGTCGTAGTAGATGCTGGCCTTGCCGTATACCTGGACGGCGGCGTAGTTCCACGTGGGGACTACTTTACCAGTCGATGGCTTCGTCTCGGTATAGAACTGGGGCGTGACGTAGTGCGAGGGGGCGGCGGTGAAGAGGACCAGGACATCTTGCTCCAGGACGTTGGTGTTGGTGGTGTTGCTGGAGGAGACGGACTCAATCATGGCCTTGCTATGGGGGTTCTGGCGGGCCAAGTGGCCGCGGAGGACACCGAGCTCGGTTTCGCTGGACTCGTCTTGGACGTCGAGGACCCAGGGGATGTGAGTTGCTTGAATCAAGGGTTCGGTGGAGGATGGGATGGCGGTGGTGAGGACGCCGAGGGGATATGAGCGGATGAGGTCTCTGAGGACCGGGATGCGTGATTCGGCGTGGACTGCTCGTAGATGCATGGTTTGTGGTGAGCTAAGGCAAGGTGACGGTTGGGCTATGCGATGGTTGATGAGAGAGAGGGGTGGGTTCAGGAGAGGTGTCGACTTTATACACGGCGGTTGGCTGCGGATGGAGATGAGAGAGAGATGAGGGATGAGAGATTACATTTGGAGATGCGCCCTCCGGGTGACGAGACACGGGAGGCTGAACAGCGTCTCGTCCGACGGGCGCTTGGCAAGCACTCGCTAAGGCTACACAATGCACATGCGGTGGTGAGGATGGTCAATTGGTGATGGTGATGGTGATGGTGATGATGCGCATCAGGCACGTCGACCAGACGGGTCGCGGAGGCATAAAGCACCATGCATAATGCATGCTTGGTTCGTGGTGTATCAAAACAGAGCCTTAAACTACACACGATGGAGCAGATCGGGCCATTCAAAACTTGGACATTTCAAAGAATGGCGCCATGCTTGTCGGATGACTGGACGGATGACTTGCATTTCCGCGGCGTCTGCAAGCAGGACCAAACGGCGTTTGGAAGCCTGGATGCAGCATTGCAGCATTCAAGCATGCAAGTCGGGGCTCGGATCAGATATGCATGAGGAGTTGTAACATTGGAAGTAAGAATTTACAGTCGTTGTCAACTGGTGTGTCTTGGTGAGATTAATTCAAACTTGACTTACCCTGGACCTGGTCTGCAGATGGTCTAGTGGGTGGGTACATGGTGAGGTACGTCTGGTGTGCATCTGCATCGTGTTCGGCCCACCGAGAGGGACCCCGCGGCCGCCGTCCCCGTCCCCGTCCCCGTCCCTGCAGGGCAAGAAACTTTGGAAAACCTTGGGAATATCTCCGGAGATGCTCCTTTTCAATGCGCTGCCGAGCCTTTTAAAAATTACACTTTGGTTCATTGTTCGTAGTCTTGTCGCCGCTCATGTCGTGGCGTCTCTCGGAGGGCGTTGGGCGTGCATAGGGCGCCCAGTTGGGGCCAAGGTGGAAGTGGAAGCACCTGCTCAATATTGGCAGATATATACTCCGTACCTGTTAGCTCAATACACCGTGGTACATTCGTGCACACACCAGTTGACGTGGCGAAAGCGTACCGTGCTAGCTACAAGCAAATTCTGGGGTACCTTGATGCCCTCAACGTGTCTATCAAGCCAAGTACCTCCCCATGTACCTTGAAACCTTGAACTCACAAGTCTTTGCCGTAGCTTCAACAACGTCGACAAATGCCGCGAGCCACTGCGCTCTGGTTGACCAAGTCCACTCTGTTTGCGTTTTCAGCCATGGTGAACAAGCGCAGCGCCTCCTACCAAAGTTTAGCCGGTCAATCGAGCCTCAGTGTGTCACCATCACTCCACGAGTTCAAAATCAAGTAGCGTCACCTAGTACCCAAGTACACATGTACATGCACGGCCCCCCGCCCGCCGCTGCTCACTCTGTCCACTCTTGGCCGAATTTGGGAACCGACCTCACAAGCTGCCGCCGTCATTCATTATTGACAGTACATGCAAACTCCATTCGCAAAATCTCACGACGACTTGCTGCAGACGCCATCTTCCATCAATCATCGCCGCCGCCTTGTGCCTTTCTGCCTTGGTCCCTGTTTGCCTCACACTCACAGCATCCGAATGCAATTGCATGGCTTTGCTCCTCCCTTTGACTATGACGCCCCGTCTCATCCAGCAATAACCTACCCTGCCGTCGGACGCACCACCAGAGCAGAGCTCCTGCTTCCACCACCACAGCAACCTGCTTGCTGCTCAACAAACCCCATGCAAAAGGTCCCCCAGCCAGCCAACCTTTGATCATCCTGCCCCGTCATCATGGAGCCCCAAATCATCAGCGAAAACACACCCCTGATTCCTGCCACGCCTCCTACTTCCGAGCCCCGGCCTCGAAACGCTCGAACCGTCACCTTTTGCCCCGACCCCGTTACCAAGACCTTCGAACCCGAGTCCTATTCTTCTCGGGATAGCGCAGCATCCGCCAGTAGTAGCCTTCCCCTCGGGCCACCTCGTGTCAGCCCACCCGTCCTCACCGCATTGAACAACAAGCTCAAAAGGCGCAATAGTCACGGCAGCGTCACCACACCCACCACCACCACCACCGCTCAACCATACCCCGGCTCCAAGATTGGGCCCCAGCGAAGTACCAAGAAGACAGAGAAACTGAAGCTCTTACCAAACCCCGACATTGAAGATGGTGAAGATGAAGAGAGCGGCCGAGATGTTTACTCCCAGTACACGAGAATTAAGGATCCCACTGCGAGGAGAGACGCTGCGAGACTCGGCAAAAGCGACCGCGATCGATTACCCCGGGTCACGGCATATTGTACCGCCGACAAGTATCAGATGGACTCGTTAATGCGCTTCCTCAAGGGTCGCGGCAAAGCGCGTGGTGCCAACCCCAAAATCATCGACGAATGCATATATACGCCCTACTCCTACACCAAACCCACCAGAATTCACCAGGACCCTGTCCGGAGCTATCAGCGGCGTCACTCAACCGGCAGCGAGACCATGGAAGACGAGGTCCAGCGCCACCAAACTCTTGGTTTGCAAAACCATGACTCCGGCTACGCTGACGAGTTTTCTGCCAACGACATTCCCGATCCTAGTCACTTAGGCAATGAAAGCCTACTGGGACCAGCCGTCACAGAAGAAGCACCCGCGGCAGACGACGTCCTGGACTTTGATACCCAAGTTCACACGCCTGAAGTGTTTCTGTTTGACTACGGAGTCGTCGTCATATGGGGCATGACCGCATCACAAGAGGCCAAGTTCCTCAAAGAGCTGGCCAAATTCGAGCTGGAAAAGCTGGCGCCAGACGACATAGAGACGGAGCTCTTCAACTTTTACTACACGCGCGAGTACCAGGCTCGCATATACAACGATTTCATCACATTACGAGACAAGAACAACTACATGATCAAGCTGGCTATATCTCACGCACTCGCACAAAGTGTCAAGGTACTGACTGTCCCATGTCCTTTGTCCATCCAATGCCCACCGCACACACACACACACATACACACACAACTCAATGCTAACCGCAGTACTTCAGACGTCCCTGTACGAAGAACTAATAGCCACAACCGTCGACACCTGCAAAGACATACCCGCCCACATCGCCCTCACCGGTAAAATTAATCTCTCCCGGAAACAAATCAACATGCAGATAGGCGACCTCTTCATCCTCCGCATCGCAATCCACCTCAATGGCTCCGTCCTTGACACCCCCGAACTCTTCTGGGTAGAGCCTCAGCTCGAACCTGTGTACCAAGCAGTGAGGAGCTATCTGGAAATGGACCAGCGCGTGGGCCTGTTGAATGAGAGGCTCGACGTTATTGCCGACCTATTGGCCGTGCTCAAGGATCAATTGAGTCATGGTCACGGCGAGAAGCTCGAGTGGATTGGTAAGTTGCTTGTCCCCATTTTTTTTCTCTTTTTTTTTTCCAACTCGTTTGAAATGTGCTAATAAGTCGTCAGTTATTATACTGATTGCCATGGAAATCTTTGTCGCATGTATCAATATTGCTGTCGATTTATGGGCAGGTGATATGTAGTTTTTTTTCGTACATGGTGTATTTAGTGCCTTGGATACGGGGAATTAGGCATCCTTGCCATTGTCTACTTCATCTTATAGGACCATGTTAGACAAATCTACCACCATTGGGAGAGATATTTCATGTTGCAATACTAGCGGTAGGATGTAGTTTCCGAAACATATAGGTATAGGTATGAAACACACGGTTATTACCTGCAAGACACGTGCAATACCCGCCTGCTTTTACATTCGAGTAAACAGATGGGACCGAGACAAACCCAATGGCACAAAGTTATATATATATACATGTATGTATATATTGTTGACCCTATTGACCTGTCGACATTACTTACGAGCAAAAACAAACGCCCCCTGTATGTTTAACCACACAAAATCAACAGACCAAAAAACTCCCCGCACTGACGTTTTGTCCAAATGAAACCCATCTCCTCCTCTGTCCATGCCCGGCAATTTAATCATCCCCGTCCTTCTCCATCCCTGTCTCCCCATCCTGATCTGCATCCTGATCCTGATCCTCTGTGTCATAATTGGTCATTTCGACATCTTCGTCCTGAGTTTCGGGCTTATCAGCATCTCCGGCCTTTTCTTCCTTTTCGGGCGTATCTTCAGTCACGTCTTTGTCCTCGTCTTCATCGTCCTTCTCGTCCGCCTTCTTGGAGAGCTCTTCAAACTTGGTCTCAAACTCTTCCTTCTCCGCGTCGGGAAGGTCTTCCCACGCGCGGGCGAGCTCCTCGTCAATGTTTAGATCGCCGTCGCCGTCGCCGTCGCCATCGCCATCACCATCGCCATCGCCATCTTTGCTCTTAGCTTCAAGGATGGGCCGGGCGTCCTCACAGTAGAGCTCGAAAGCGTTCTTAGGGGGCTTGGATGGCTTGCTGATGCCATTGGTAGGGGTGTCGTCGGGGTCGGCGCTACCTCGCTTGGCTTGGGATTCTGAGGGTGATGCGGGTCCTTTGAAGGAACTGTTGGGGGTGGCTTTGGAGTCGAGGTCGAGGAGGGCAGATTTTCGGTGGCCACGTTTGATGCGTAGCGGCTTGTCCTTGGGCTAATGGGCTCGTTAGCATGTAAAATGATGGGAGACGAGACGTGGCGAGAGTGGGATTGAGAGTGTGAGGCTCATCAATTTTGGCAAAGACATCCGAGAAAGATTATACAAACATAAATGTCAAGACGGGGCAGGCTCACAGTTGGTGGTGGGCTCGGGCTACCCTCAGAGTCTTCAACGTTGGTGCTGGTGCGCTTGGCCAGCTGTTCAAGCAAAAAGGCCCGTTCTATCCTCAACTTTTCAACTTGGCGCTTAATCCGTGCGAGGCGTAGTCTAGCAGCGTCGTTGGCATCCTCGACCTCGTTTGTCCGATTCTTCAGCTGCACGCATTTGCGGCGGTAAGCCTCTTCGACGGAGGGAGGCAGCGAAGGAGGAACAGCTAGTGGTTCGGGCTCAATGTCAGCAAGCTTTCTCTTGGGAGGCATGACGGCTGTTGTGGTGACGATGGCGCGGCTGCGTGTTTTGATGGAAGCTGAGGTTGCGCCAAGAGGAAGAAGCGGAAAGTGGATGCTGAATGTCGAGAAACAAGAGGCTCAAGGTGTTGCGCAGACAAAGGCGACACGGGAGGGACTATTATTGAGGTATGCGGCAACCGTGGGCAGAAAATGGATATGGCCCAAGTTGCATTCGTTCGCCGGACAAAAATAAAAAGGACGAATCAGTCGGGCAGGCAAGGGAGTAAGTAGCAACACTCACCGGATGGCGGCGCCATAGCGGCAGCAACAACAGTAATAATACTTAAAGAGGCGCTGTGTTTGAGCAACGAAGGCGGGTCCCAATGTGATGGATGATGGAGGAGGGAGACAAATCGGAGGGTGGAGGGCCAAAAGGATGGCGACGCAAAGCAGACGGCAGCAATGACCAAACAGCGCGAAAAAAAAAAAAAAAAAAAAAAAAAGGACCCAATTGTAAAAGGAAAACCCAATCAATTGCATGGGTAGGAAGAAAGGGGGCGCCGAAGGCGATGGCGTTGAGAGGCACACGGGGAAGTGGAGAGAAGAGGATGCTCTCGAGAGCGCCGCAGCGCAGGAAAACGGCAAACGCCATGCTAAATTGGCGTGTGACGTGTCTTGTACACTTCGAGCAGTCACCAATCGAAAAGACATCGCAGAAGGGAAAAAAAAAAAAAAAAAAAAAAAACGAAGCCAATGTCTAAAAGGAAAACCCAATCAATTGCATGGGTAGGAAGAAAGGGGGCGCCGAAGGCGATGGCGTTGAGAGGCACACGGGGAAGTGGAGAGAAGAGGATGCTCTCGAGAGCGCCGCAGCGCAGGAGGAGTGGGCGGGCAGTGAGGAAGGAGACGACGACGATGGACGAGGAGGATGAGAATGACGAGATGGAGATGAAAATTGAAATTGAGGTTGCGAGCGAGGCCACGCAAGGCTGTGATGCGACGAGGCGATTGGCGCGTCAGAAGGGCACAACCAAGTGCATTGGCGTCAACTGGTCGACTTGGTCTTTTCCAACTTTCCATGTGCGCAGGTCCCGAGTGCTGGCCGGCTGCTCAGGCGCCTTCCAGTTGGACGTGACATGTGTGACATGGGTGCTCGGGACATGCCGGTCGGTCGGTATACACCATGAGTGAGTGCACCGCACGCCGGCGGCAAGAGTCTATCCAGCAAAGGCGCCGAGTATAGATTTTTTATTCATTTTTGCTTATATATATATATGTTTTTTTTATATAAAAAAAACACCAAAACAGGGTCAAATAACCTGCATTCGCAAGACTTTGCGTCAATTTTGACGCGGCATCGACATGATGCTTTTTGCAAGTGCCTGTTGCTCTGCATGTCCATGTAGCAGCTTGCTTGCACCCTGTGCCTGCCTGCCTGGTGGAGGCGGATTAACAAAAGACCCTCCAGACGCCATGATTGGCTTTCAGGCCACAGCACCAGACTCCAGACGTCTGGAGTTCGACCACCACAGATTTTCTGGCGGGGCCATTCCACGGGGGAGCTTCGAGTGGAAAGCACAAGAATCACGACAAGTCTGCCGGCTCCATCACCACCACCACCGCCTCTACTCGTCGCAAGCCCGAGTGTGAGCCTCTGCCAGTCTCACATGTCACAGCCTTGCCGCCATGTCTCTCAACATCCCAAGTGCCCCCAACGCGGGCCTCTTCAAGCAAGGCTACAACAAGTGAGTTGCTCCCAACACCCCGCCGCATCAAGTTTTGCTAACATGGGGGGCTGTCACCAGCTATGATTCCGAAGATGGCGCCGTCTTGCGAAACATCGACGCCTGCCGTGCCATTGCCTCAACCGTCCAGACCTCTCTTGGCCCCTATGGCCGCAACAAGGTTGTCATCAACCACCTTCAGAAGATGATCCTGACCTCCGACGCCGCTACTATTCTCCGGGAGCTCGATGTCGTCCACCCCGCCGCCAAACTCCTCGTCATGGCCAGTCAGCAGCAGGAAGCCGAGATGGGCGACGCCACCAACCTGGTCATCATCTTGGCCGGTGAGCTGCTTCGCAAGGCCGAGGACCTTCTGCGAATGGGCCTCAAAACCACGGACATCGTCATGGGCTACGAAAAGGCGCAGAACTTTGCGCTGGAGACGCTCGAGAAGCTTGCCGTCGACAAGGTCGAAGATATCCGTCATCAGGAGGAGCTGAGCAAGGCTATTCGAACCGTCATCGCCAGCAAGCAGAACGGCAACGAGGACTTCCTGGCTGATCTCGTCGCTGAAGCCGTCTTGGCCGTTCTGCCGAAAAACCCTACCAACTTCAACGTCGACAATATCCGCGTCGTCAAGATCATGGGTGGTAGCCTGGAGCAGAGCCGAGTCGTCAGGGGTATGGTTTTCCCCAAGGAACCGGATGGTTCAGTCAAGAAGGCACGTCGTGCCAAGGTTGCCGTCTTCACCTGCCCCATAGATACCAGCCAGACCGAGACCAAGGGCACTGTCCTGCTGCACAATGCCAAGGAAATGATGGACTTTAGCAAAGGCGAGGAGGCCCAGCTCGAGACCGCCATCAAGGAACTGCATGACTCTGGCCTCCGTGTTGTTGTTTGCGGCGACAAGGTTGGCGATCTAGCCATGCACTACCTTAACCGTTTCGGTATCCTCTGCATCAGAATCCTCAGCAAATTCGAACTGCGCCGAGTATGCCGTGTTGTCGGTGCCACCCCTCTCGCCCGACTGGGTGCTCCTATGCCTGACGAAATGGGCAACATTGACGTTGTTGAGACGCTCGAGATTGGTGGCGACCGCGTCACCGTCTTCAGACAAGAGGACGAAGTCACCAGAACTGCCACTCTTGTCCTTCGTGGCGCCACCCAGAACCACCTTGACGACGTAGAGCGCGCTGTCGATGACGGTGTCAACGTTGTCAAGGCCATCACCCGTGATCCTCGCCTCGTACCCGGTGCCGGGGCTACAGAAATTCAACTAAGCGCCAGAATACAAGCCCAGGGCGAAAAGACCCCAGGACTAAGCCAGTATGCCATCAAAAAGTATGGTGAAGCATTCGAGGTCATTCCTCGCACCTTGGCAGAAAGCTGTGGCCTCGATGCCACTGAGGTTCTGAGCAAATTATATGCTGCTCACCACAAGAATGAAGATGGCGATACCGGCGTTGACGTAGAGGTAAGTTTCAAATCACTGCAAATAAGCTGAACGTCATCCAACTGTCTTACACCCATTTTCAATCTTAGAACAACGATAACACCGGTACCCTTGATGCAAATTCGGAAGGAATACTCGACCTCCTCACCTCCAAATCCTGGGCTATCAAGCTCGCCACCGAAGCCGCCCGTACAGTCTTATCCGTCGACCAGATCATTGTCGCAAGACAGGCTGGTGGTCCTAAACCCCCTGGCCCCAACCCCGTGAGTTTCTAGCCCTCTTCATTCCTCCTACAAAAGTTTACTAACACGTATGGTGACAGAACTGGGATGAGGACTAAATTGGGCGGTGGGCTAGGTAAAGTAAAACAGAAATTCAACTCCAAGTTACAGATGGTGAAGGGGTTTCTGGTTGGTTCCTCCCCAGAGACAAAATGCGACAGTCGCTTAGATATCTATCCTCTTTCATCTGGGAGTGGGAAATTGTATGTATGGCACAACAAAACCGTTTGAGAGAAAACATGGGTGAATAGACAAGGAGACTGTGGGGGTGTCCAATCAATCATTGCCACTCTGCATTCGGTTGCTCCACCAAAAATGAGATATGGGTTGAAACTCGTAGATTATAATAGATCAGCAACACATATCTACCTAGATTTTCCCAATAGATTTGCTACAAGCATCACCGCCGTCATAAAAAAGCCTCATGATACATGAGAATGTATATATACATACATGTGTGCGTGTGTGTATTCCTTCAAGCTCCCCGTCTTGCCACCCCCCCTGCCAAACTGTCCCCTTATATCCCTCGTATTACAACATCGAAGGTGAAAGAGATCATCATACAAAACGACAGGTGAGTTAGAACCCGCCATCATAAGCTATAAATACGACCAGGCGTTGTTGTATACTGTGAAATGGGCAAAACATTGGCCATATTAGAGAAGCCCAGAGCCGATGGTTAAGTAAACTTATGGTCTGTCCGAGTTCCAAGAAGCAAGGTTGTTATGATGTAATATATTCAAAAGATTAACACCTCAAAAAGGAAAACAAAGTAGCCAAGACAGCACGCCGCTACGAATTTCTGGTAGCGCGACGGGTATAGTAGAAAAAGTTGAAATAGATGTAGCGGTTTTGTGCGGCATGCGACAAAATGTTGAGGTAGAGAATGGTATATTTGACCCGGTCGGGGTAGATGTGGTATGAGACATCTATAATCGAGTTCGCCCGTGGAAGCTATAAAGCACATTGGTTTCAAGGACTGTGAAGATGTGACTGTCATAAAACGTCAAGGCGTAAGAAATGAGAATAACAAAACGGCGTAATGGGACCAGCTAGCTCCAACCCGAGAGCGGCCAGCATTGCCATGTTAAACATTACAAAGTAGAATTGGTGAAGGACCAAAAAGTGATGGGGTAGCAGCTGACAGCTGAGAGCATAACGGCGGGAATGTAGGCGCCGGCAGCTATGCTTCCTCCATGATGCCACCTTCGCCTCCGCCTTCCTCTCGCCACTCCCTGCTCTTATCAGCGAGGCGCCGGATACCACTCACGCGGCCAGACCAGAGGGTCTCAATCGGCGTTCGGAAAGTGAACGCACGCTGAGAGCTGATAACTCCAATAGCCTGCAGAACAGCCTTACGGCTATCCCGTCCAAAGACGGCTGGGTGGTTGATCCACTCCAGACTGCTCTCCAATTCAGTGTCCAAAGCGGCCACCGTGCCTGGGTCTATACCATTGCCAAGTCCAAGACCGTCGGTAGAGCGACTTCGAGCGATCTGAGTTCCCGGATAGCCATTTCCGCCAGAAGAGGTGGCGGAGGTAGGAGATGGGCTGCCCTTCCGATCTGGGGTTCCAGCCGGATTGGGCGACGAATCGTTGCCCGGATGTGTTGTTGGCGGACTAGGTTTATTCCCTGGAGGTGGCACTGGAGGCAGTCCGCCTTTGCCCAAACCCTTGAGAATAGATCTCGTTTCGCTCAACAAGGTATGGGCGCGGTCGTGCTGGCCTCGGCTTACCAAGGTTAGTGCCCGCGTAAGCATGTCCGACGTCAGCAGCTCCATGCGGCGCTGGACAATGCTAGGATGTGGTGGAATCGGTGGGGAATTATGCCAGGTCTTCTTTTGGCTGGAGCTTGGAGGCAGCATAGTGATTGCCAGAAGGGATGGCCGTGGCATGTGCTGAAGAGTACCTTCACGGAGAATATCACCCCAGCTCAAGTCAGCCTGAACCAACGGCACCTCTTCAACGGATAATGTTCGCTCTGCATCGTTCTCTACCGAACCACCAAGCGCCTCCAATCCGGACACGATGTTATCCCATGGGTCTTGTGGGAGTTGCTCTTGGGACGTACTGTCTGGCATAATGACAAGTTGAACGAGAATATCTCGCTTGTCGCCAAACCTCAGGTCGCCTAGGGCGGCTTCTGCATCACGGCCGCTGGCCCTCTTGGTCATTTGTAGGGCTCCGCTAATCTTGTGGAATTTGGCAGGTGAACCTTCCGGGAGCTTCAACTTCAGCTTCACATTTTGATGGGATAGAGACTGCATCGATCCCAAGCAGCCAGCGAGACATTCTCTTAGCATCATCCAGTCTTTCACATAGGTGTAGGATGCCTTTGTCTTCGTAGATAATTCAATCATAGTATCAGGTTTGTGAGTCATACCTAATCCAAAAGAGTGAATGGTGATTCTAGATGTCTTATTAGCCCAACCATCATGCTTCGATTATCAATGCGGACAAGAGGAACGGATTGTTACTTACTTGGCAGCCTCTGCTCGAGACACCACAAAATCAACCGAGTCAGCATCCGCTGTTGACGCATCGCTGATGAGCATAATTGTTGCAATGGGGTTGTTATGCTTGCGTTGCATAAGCAGATCCATGGCGACGTTTGCGCCCTCAACAACATCGGCACGATGACTCTTCTGACCAACAGGCTTGATTGAAGAAAGGATATTACTCCAGCCTGGCCACGCCTTTGTGGTCATACCGACAATAGGCACTCCGCCTCCACCAGACCCGAACGTGACGAGCCCCATGCGATCTCGCTCGCCAAGGGTGTTGACCATGAATTTCAACGCGTCGCGAACAAGGTTGATCTTCACACCTTGCATAGACGAGGATATTGGAACAACCACTACCACATCAATTGGGACATGCACCAGGGAATACGGATGATGAGGTGTCTTGACTGCGAAGTTAGTATACTCTGTAGGCGCAGTGGTGACGGATTTCGGCCCCCATGACGAGGCGGTAGAGGAGACCCCCTGTGGCCGTGATCGTTGCCACTCCACTTCCTCGTCCCCTTCAGACATCTCGCCACGATCAAACTCAGGGCTTCGAAAAAGAGAGTTTTCGACTGCATTCAGATCCAAAAGTGCTTGGTTCCACAGCTTAAGCTGGTTTCTGTTGTCGAAGCGGAGGTGAAATTGTGGCAGTTCGGCGACAGAGAGACTAAGAGTCAAGACATTCTCATCAATGGTCCCTGTTTCGGACACCTCATTCAGATGCTTTTTGATAAGGATACTGCCCTTGAGTGTACAGCGTGTTGCCTTTCTAGGAGCACCACTATCATCCCACTGCGTGATAGCTTGAGGAGGCAGCTTTTTCTCCTTCACACAGATAAGCATCTCGGCGAACAGGTAACACTCGAGCTCCTGCCACGAAACCTTGTCTTTACCAACTCGCAAAGTGCCATACAACCTCAGCTGGCCGAATCTAGACGTCAACCGTTAGTTTCCTGTTGAGTCACTAGCGCCAGACTGTAGAAGGCCACTATCCTTGCCTTGTCTGACAAGACACAGGGACAATCACTTACCTGCTAAAATCCAAGCCATGCCAGTTGTCAACACGGTTTCGCAAATTCTCCGTCATCTCCTCCAGAACCTCGGGAGGCTCGTAAGGAATAAACCTCGGGGCGCTTGGCGTAGGTGTCACCGCTCGTGCCGCAATTTTATCAATCCTAGAACTAACTTGTTCTGCTTGGTGCGGCGACGAACCGATGTCCTCCGGATCAGGCTTCCATTTGTTGTCCGCAACCTCCACCGTGACCAAGCAAGTGAGGGTCTGCTGTTGTCGAGAACGATTGATGGTAGGAAACTCTGATCGAACTGTAACGATTGGAGAAGGAATTGGATTTCGGGAGATAGTACGCGGACTGCCGGGAGTTGTTTCCATCGCTTGCACATCATAATCATGTCGCCAAGGTATGCTCTGCATCGTTTCAGGATACCCGCCAGACGAAGCCACCCCAGTGGCTTCGCTATCGCTTCGGGCATGTCTAGAAGAACTGTATCGATCAGAAAATGCTGCGTCTCGGCTGTCGCGGTGGCTTCCTCGTGTCCCGCTTTCTCGTCCAAGGCTGCTCGGCTGCTGAGAATGGGCTCTTCTCTGAGAGCTGTCAAGGCTCGGTGGTCGTACTGTTTGGCTGTCCCAAGCCGGAGTCGGTGTAGGCGTAGATCTTGTATCGCTTCCCCCGGTTCGTACAAGGTTACTGATCTTGTCTACCTCCGAGTTAGTGCCCAGTTCCAAATCGTTCGCTGTCTTGGGAGACGAACTAATGTCAACAACGTTGCCGCCTCGACTAGTGTCAAGATGCAGCGGTGCTTCGCAAGTCGGGCAATATTGCCCGTCAAGTTCGCGGATATATTCGTAGAAGCATGCTTCATGGGAAACGTGGGAGCAGGAGAACTGCAAGATACGCTCGCCTTGGAGTGTATGCTCGAGAGGCTCTTCGCAAACCGCACATTCACTTCCGACGAATGTTCTTTCGCGCCGTAGGCGGCTTCTATCAGCGGTGCTTGCCATGACGTTGTTGTCAATGGCGCCTACTCGTCGATGTAGAGCCCTGGCGGTTGAGCTGATCGAGCCGACCGAGCCTCGTCGATGGCTCTTGCTGCCTAGTGTCGTAGTTGGGTGCGATCTATGTTCAGCTCCTATGAACGATAGCAGTCAGCGATGTTGGCTTCGAGGTATCAATGCCAGGCCGGATAGTTGAAGCCAAGCTGACTTAACCAAAGGTTGAACAAAGAAGCGGCCATTCCCGTACCTTGCTGAGGCAGAAAATCTTCGCCCGCGACAGGCGCTGAGCCGGTGTGAACTCCGGACCGTGACGCAGATGGAAGACTAGAGCCAATTAGGTCTAAAGTAGCGAGACGAGATACAAACTCTGAATCTCCCCTGTTATAATTTTGGAAGCCGAGGCTCTGTTTTGAATCCCGTTGGTTTTTTCGAATTCGACTAAACATGGAGATATATACTCGGCGGTACTAGAGGCTTGGGGACAGTGCTAGAATAGGCTAGCAAAGTATTGAGCTAATGCGCGAACACGCTTTTGTGTTGAAGATGATAGAACTAGGGTTCAGAGTTGCAGTTGACTTAGCGGACTGCAGGGGAAGAACACGCCGAGAATGATGCCTATTACTTCAATTGCGGGTGTGAAAGCAAAGGCAATCCAAGTGGACGAGGGTCGGTCGTCAGGCAGAACAACAGGGCTTGCGCTAGAGCGGGCAACGGGGAGAGTTCGTTTGGTTCCGTGTCACAGAATCCTAGGATGTGGTGTTTCAAGTCCCTGTATCAACAATGCTACGCTGAAGATGGCGGAGACGACCGGTGCATGATGGGAAGGCGCAAGGATTTGAATAGAAGCTTTCGAGGAGCAGCAGACAAGCAACAACTGGCGAGCTAAGGGTATTAAAACAAGCTCCGGAGCGCTTTGCCTCGTATAATGGTTGGTTTCAATGGAAATGTTGCGGCGAGAAAATTCTAGAGAGCCGATGAGAGTTGTTGAGGAAAAGTGCTGCGGTTGCTTTACTACTTGCAGAGAAGTTTCAAGGTTCTCTCCAGAAACACAGGTCGAAAGCGTCTTGTTGGTTGTCAATTGGTCATCCCTGTAGAGTGAAGAAGTAGAGAGCAAAAACGAGGTTGGTAGCGATATTGCCGGTTTGGTCAATGAAAAGGGGTGCCAGTCCCCCACGGCCCGTGGGTATTCGAACAGTTGCTTTTGCGCGCACAGGCCCAACCCGTCATGAGACGTCCAATCTTGATCGAGCTGCTGGAGCTTGAAGCCTGTCAAAGACACAGGTCCGTCTTTGCCATGGACTAACTCGGTACTTGCCAACAAGCTTCGCCGCAATACAATAGTAAGACACGGAGACTAAGGGTCCCCTTCCCAACTTCTAAGTGGTTCGGAGCCGCCCCGCTAAAAAGGACACAGACACGACAGGCCCGAGCGAACTCTCTAGTTGAGAAGGACGTGCGGAATACTCCGTACAAAGCCAGAATACCTTAATTGCAAAAAGGGAAAAAGGGAAATGGACGAGACGGGGGGCGAAAGGAAGTAGTAGAACAGGCCACGACATAAAGATGTTGAACAGGCTGTACATAATAGTGTCGACAGAAAAAGGATCCAGCCAGGGGCAGAGAGGCAAGAACTCCTGAGGGCAACGAGGAGAGAGGTACAAGAAAGGTACGGAGACTCAGTACAGAGCACCAACGGCCAACTAATAAATGTGTACAACATAGATTGGCCGCAACGGCGCAGGGAAACTGACAAGGAGCAAGCCTGACCAGGGCTGTTTGTGCCGGGGGACCGGACTTCCCGGGTAATCACTCCGTACTTCGTAGTAGTGCGCTCCGTACAGAGTCGAAATTTGAGATGCAGGATGCGCACTTGAAGAGAGTCGAACAATGACCCGTCGTCGAGTGGCGGCCGCGGCACGAATCGTACGAGGCGCTCTGCAACCGCGTGGTTGGTAAACAGCCACACACACAGAGCTCATACGAGTGTCAGCTTCATCCGGGTCCATGAGGCGCTGCTACAGATTGGCTAGGAGGGGCTTCCATCGTCACAACTGGTTAACGCTACGCCACCGCAAGCTGGCCCGCCTTGGCCAGGATGGCGAAGCCAGTCAATCGGGTATCTTCTAGTCTGTGCAATCCCTGGTTAACCAGAGCCCAGAAATAAAAAAAGAAAAGGAAAGAGGTCACCCTCGCCAGGGGTCTCAAAGGGCCCAAGTCTTGTCTGGTGGGTAGCATCTAGGCTAAACTAGGATGCGAGGCATGGATGCAAGGATGCCGCAGCTCGCTGATGACTTGCAACTGATGATTGGGAGGGGTTCACGAGGAGCTAGGCAGGGTTACCAGGCAAGGGCACCAAAACGATTTCAAAGTGTTCGACAAGCTGGGATACAGTACGGAGTTTGCACATACATACGGAGAGTTATTGTAAGAGCAGAAATTTCCAAACGGGCTGCCAGAGGCATCGGTTGTGGCCGTTTGATTCGAAAATACGCACAGAGTACGTATTGTACCTTGTTCGTCTGGGCAATCAAACATTCGTACTGAAACCACGATGCCTGGAGGTACTGTTGCTTTTGGGTGGCCGTGTGGTGATGGAAACAATTGGGCCAATAAGCCAAAGCTGAAGAAATGTGGAAGCTTGCTGGAGTGCGTGGTGACTGCACGCAAAGTACGCACCACCCAGGTGCCTACTGCACTTGCAGCACTTTCCACGTTCCAAGCGTGAGGTGCTCCTGCCGCAGATATTCTTCTGTGTCGCCCTCTATCGTTAGTCATTCATTGGCTGTCCAGAGACGCATGTCACGATAAAGTTTCTGGTGTCGGACTATGCCTCTGCCTCACGCACGTGTGCCTCATGCCATGGCCATCCAGTCACTTACTCCGTACAATGCCAATCTATCGAGTACCCGGTCGGTCAACTACCTGGGTAGCACTAGGTACGCAAGCTAAATGCTATGGAAGCGTCGTCAATGCCAATTTCTGGACTTGTAAGTGTCATCTCCCGGGGCCATCGTTGGACAGAAAACCTGCATTTGCATCTCGAGACTCCTGAGTCCTGACGCTTCTAGAGCACCCGGCCGCTACGCTGCACGCAGTGTAAGTAATCGCCATGTGGCCAGCCAAGTTGACGAAGCAGCTCGTTTTTTCTTTTTCTTCGTCACCAGTCATCATGGCCCTGCACGTGCCCCTGGAATGAAGGTGAGACGTGCATACGGAGTACTCCATGCACATATATCGTTGAACTGCCTGCTACTTCAAGACTTGCAGCTGGTTACGGCATTGGGGGCCGTCGTATGCCTTTTCTCCAATTTTGTATCTTGTCCTTTATGAAGTATTAGTGCGCGGTCATGCCATTCTCGAGCTTGCTTGGTCCTTGGGATTCCGAAATAATACGCCGCGCTTTCAGTCCGCCCGCCACGCTCAGACCTGCCCAACCACGAGTAGCACCAAAGCAGCTCACCACCGATTGCACGCAGAAACATAGGATAACCAGCATTGGTACTAGGACAGGTCAAGAAAAGTTTGGGACGTCTCAGATGCAATAACTAGTATATGTACATATGTACAATACGGAGAACAGCTTGGCATCCCACAGCCTCAATCCCTGCAGTTAGTAATTACACGAACTGCCCAGGTAAACCGGAGTACGTAGTCGCACTTCCAAAGACAACTTCAGGTCGTGTGTCCAACCCCAGGCCGTCTACCTGCCAAGGACACCTCAGTTAACAAAGGCCGACTCCTTCTCCATATCAACTGTATTAGATAATTGTGTATTGGAAATCTGCGCTGGTCCAAACAGCACTGTTGTTGCATGCTACTCCAGATACGCTGTTGTCATGTCCAATCTAGATGGTTTAGGCATGACAGCCTTGAACTATTAAGCAAGTGCAGACATCAACAGGGACAGACTCCACGATACAACTGAAAAGTATGTCAAATGCATGCCAGCGAAATAATGATGGCATTATGTGCAACTACAATGCCTCATGCCGATCGTCCAGTTAGCGGAAATCGCTATAAAGGCCAGTAGTTTGCATGCCATTCGCAGCTACTTAACGCCTTCTATAATAACATAAAGCTATTACTGTAAATAGCCTCTAGGTAGGAGGGACACTTGCCTCCGAATAGGTAAACTCCAAGTTGCAATATATGCCTATACTTTGCTTACGGCATGCTGTTCAGCCTCAACGATCGCAAGCAATATCACCATCCAGGGTAGCACCACAATATCACCAGCTTCCGCGACGAGATGAAAAAGGCCCCCAAACGGCTCATGCGCTCAAGTAATTCGTTCAGTCGCCGCAGCCCCCATCCGTGGGATCGCCAGCCAAAGACAGTAACTAAAATGACGCAACCTCTTGGCGATTCCTTTCTCTGCAGTACGACAACAATTGCTGCATGTCATTGTGACCGGGGAGGCGCATATACGCGGTCGGACTAGACTTCAATGCCCCGTCGCGGATTATTAGTAGTGCGTTTTTTGTACTAAACACTTCTCGTTGTCCGCGAGCGCAACTTCGAGTTCACGCGCGGATCAACGTCGCGACTGGGGTACGAGCCGCAAATTTGGGGGCGGCAGGGCTGTTGCCAAGGAACCGCTTGCTTATAGTAGTTATGTTCCATTCGGCGGAGTGCATGGACGACCATTCGGAGGATTTTCAATGAGCAATCTCACAATCGGAGAGTCCATCACGGTCGATGGCCACTAACACACCATGGAAGAAAAAACCGGTTTCGATGCAAATCTAAATTTGGCAAGGCAAGCGACCGCACTGTGGTTCGATTGATTCGCGTTTCAACTTTGTGTCGCAGTAATGATCTCATGGATGCCTTAGGGTAGGCCAGAACGTTTGATCGAGAGAATCCAAATACCAAGCGCTATAGTCCTCAAACGAGGCGGTGCCATCTAAATCGAAACAGAATGACCCAAAGCCAGCAAACGTCATTTCTTGAAGAACCCAGACCGCCCCTGAACGGGCGCTCTCCCCCTCTTCAGCAGAGTATCCTTGGTACTCTTCGAATACTTCCTCGCCTTGGGCGCCAGCCTCTCGTCGACCTTCTTGGATATTCTATACACCGTAGAACCAATGACTTCGTCTCGAGGACCCCTTCCATCTCGCGACATCCGCTTCTCAACCCCCGAAACCGTTCTCCGGCGGGGCAAGTCTTGTCCAAGGGAGGACTCCATTTCATCTTCCTCTTCGCTATCCGAATCCGTCAGGAACTCGGCAGGCAGGACACTAGGAATGACTATCTTCCCTGATCTTTTCCTGCCAGAAACTTCCTGGGTTGGCGCTAGGACTTCTTCAGTCTGAGTTTCAACCTTGCGCTCTGAAGCTTGCTGCTTGAATAGGGCATCTCGTTGCTGCCGCTTCTGCTTTTCAGCGGCTGCTTGTCTAGCTCCTAGTTAGCTCCAATCTCCATTGACCATAGTAGAAGAATAATAATAGTAAGTTGAACAGTACTGCAAGAGGGAAAGATACGTACTCTCGAGCAGCTTTCTTCTCCGCCTGCGCAGACTTCTTCATCTCAACTGCCACCTTGGTGGTAGACACTGCCTCAGGAGCCTCATCACTATCACTTTCCTCCTCCTGCTCCGCTGGTTTCGAGGCCTCGACGGGTTTAGCCGGAATGACAAGTTCCCGGTCTGCATTGCCGTCGTCGTCAAACGTGATGACGTTGCTCCTCTTGCTCGCCGCCGTGGGTGCATCTGCCTTTGGCTCTTGGTCGTCGTCCTTTGACCGCACGGGCAGTTTCCTCTGTCTTTTGGTGGTGCTTGTGGGCTGCGAGGGAGTAGGTTCAGCACTTTCAATGGCTGCTTGGGCCATGGCCTTTCGCTTGCGCGTTTCGACGGGCATTGTCGATGTGCTTTCAGTGAGTTTCTCACTGAGCTGTCTTGTGGCGTGGTCTGATCCTGGAGAGGAAGCGGCTCCTGTCTAAATCCCTGAGAGAATACGTCGCAGACAGAAATAGTTTGATTCAAGTATTATATTGCTCAACCTGCTCTTGAGTATGAGTGTTGTTATGCAATGGTCCTGTGATGAAAGGATGTACATACCATGCTGAATTGGGACGACAATTTTGATATCAAAAATATTTAGTGGGTCGCTATGGTCGGAACAGCGCGGCGTAGAACGCTGTGATTGGTCAGTGGAGTCGGCGGAGTTGGAGATGTACACCAGACCAGACATCTGCACCTTTCTTCTTCAAGATTACAACCACCAGCTTGGAAATGAACTACGACCAACTTGTTTTAAATGATTCGCTGAAAATTGTCACTGCTTAGTTTTGCAGACTATTTATTTCTTGATTTTTTTTTTTTTTTTACAGTTACTACTTTACAGAAAGGGGCATTATGGAATCGGTAGTACCTGATCCAATGCAAGATTGAACTACATCCCCCCAACCACACACGACTTCATCCTCGTTGTGCTATCAAAATGGCCGTCAGACGGGTTCTATCGCCTTGCGCACTCATCCCTTCCTCACCAGGCGGTATGATCCCTGTACTATCAAAAAATCACATCCATCCATACACAATTCAACCACACCAGCAAGCGCGATCGTTTGCTTCTCGCTCTCCCCCCAAAGCCCCTTCCTACGCCGAAGTGTTCACTCTATCAGACATTCCGCTCAGCTCCTTCGAAAGCGTAATCTCTCGCAACGGCAGCTCATTCACAGATCTTTCCCCAGAGGAATACTACAGCGTCGCTCAGAAATTCTCCGACGCAATCAACCGCGGGTCTTCCCCTTGGACCTCTTCATTCACAGGCAGTACGTTGACTCTTTCGCCGCCAAGGTCCTCGCCCGCTCCCAACCACAAGACTAACTCAACGCCAGAAGATGCCATCCCCGCAGAAACTCTACACAATGTAGCCTGCATCATGCGGCAAATCACCGGGCCCCGAAGCGCAGACGCCTTCGCCACCGCCCTCTGGTCAACCGCCTCCGAAATGGGCTACCGCCCATCCACGCTCTCCCTCGCCCGGCAACTCGTCCGTTCCGGGGCATACGGGAGAGTTCCGCAGCTGCGCAGGGTCGAAGCACGCTTCAAGGGCCTGGTTTCCAGTGGTAAAGACGCGGATGCGCTCACTGCCGAGGGGGAGTTGCTGCTGGAGCAGGGACGGCTGGATGCCGCCGCCGCGGCGTTGAAGAAGGCGCTGAAGCTGAGCCAGGGGTTTGAATGGCGACCGTATTGTCAGTTGTGCCTGGCAAGGACATACTTGCAGATGGGGAAATTCGATGACGCCCGGGGGCTGTTTGAGGAGTTGGCCGAGGAAGGGGTTGTTGAGGCTGACATGGAGTTAGCCGAGATGCTCAAAGGTAGTGACGTGGATGAGGCACGGCAGAGGATGTACACCGCTGCGTGTAATGGGAGGAGGGATATGTTTACGCGACTTTCAGAGATGGAATTGGAGCTGGAGACGGTTGGCGGTGAGGAGGATGGCGCGGAGAGGAAGTTGTGGGCGACGGAGTGGTCAAAACTCGCAGACGGGCGGGTTGAATATTAATTAAACCTGGACATATATTTGATCTTGTGTATTTAGAAACACCCGGCGTCCTCTTTTGGGGACCTATTGTATTACACCTCCTTGGCCGTGTTCCTTCATAATTCTAAATCTACTTCTTTTGCTTCTTAACACTATTCCTCTCATTCCCCTTCAGCCTCCTCTTGTCACCAACATCTTCATCCCCTTCATCCGCGTTCTCCCCACCATCACTCGCGACCATTTCCATCATTTCCCCTCCCTCGCCCTCAAACAACTCTCTCCACGAACCATCCAGGACCCTCTCGTCATCCCCATACAAACCGACTCCATACGCAATCTTCATGGCATTGATGCAAGTCTCCCTCCTTTTCCCAAAGTCAAACATTGGCTTCGGATACGTCCCCTGCTCCTGGTCATCCAGTCCATCACCCACCACCCTCACGCCCGCCTTCTTCTGATCCTGAATCGGCGCCTTCCACGGCTCGTATATGTACTTGGAATCCAAATTCTTCAGCTCCGGGACCCATTTGCGAATCAAATCTCCGTTCTTATCCCACTTCTGCCCAAAGGAAACGGGGCTGTAGCACCGAAAATACTGCGAGAAGAAAGCCGTACACGACAACCACTGCCAATTTCCTGCGTTGCAGGCAGGTTCATGATCCAACAGGTGCACCTCAAAGACCTCTGCTCCTCTCTCCCAATCGACGTAGCATCCTCCCCTGGTAAGGAAGCACGCCACGCTATGGCGGCCAAGGTGGTGCATCCAACCCGTGTGGACGAGCTGGCGCATAAGAGCGTCTATCCAGGGGAAGCCCGTAACGCCTCGCTTCCATCGCTGGAACCACTTCTCGGCGTCGTCCGAGTCAACTTTGTACTTGTCGGTAACAAGCCCGGTCTGCGAGTCTCTCTCCGAAGGCAGGTGCCAGGGTATAAAACGACAGTACGGGTTCCCAGCCGTCTGCGTAAACTTGGCGCCGACGGCCGCCTGCGCAGCAAAATACATATCCCGAAAGATGAGTTGGCCCGTCAAGCTCGCCGGAGGGGTCGACGCCCCTTTCCCGTAGGCCTCGACCACATCTTGCACCCGCCAGTAGAACTCCCTGACGGATAGGGCACCAAAGTGCAGAAACGGCGAGAGCAACGTGGTCGACTGCGGCTCAAACTGCGCCGGACTGGTCTTTGGCTTCTCAAAGGTGGCTGTGTACTTTTTGTTTTCGATAATCTCGGCTAGATCCTTCAACGCAATGCTCTCCCCTCCTCGGTAAGGAGTCGTGGCCGCCGGAAACCCAAGCTCCTCCAGAGTCTCGATAGCGAAATCGCCCTTGGGCCCAGCGATGCTCTTGTACGCCGTGTCTTTCTTCTCCCTCGCCTGCGCATTCACATCTGGAGCGTTGCTCGGCACATGCTGCTCGAAATCGAGCGGCATATCGCCCGGGTCGGGGAGACCCTTGGGCGCGGCTATCGGCCGGGGGACTTGGCCAACCTTCTTTGCAGCAGAGAGCAGCTGCGTCATGGACATGGTTGGCTTGCCATCGTGGTGGGCGACGATCTCGTCGCTGTCCCAGAGGGTTCTACCAGAGCGGATGACGACTTCGACGCCAGCTTCCTTTGCTGCCTTGGCGACGACGTCGTCGCGCTGCCGGGCATATGCATCGGTGTCCTTCTCGAAGACGAGATGCGTGACTTTCCAGGCTTTGAGGAGCTTGGGGAACAGAGTCTGGGGCGCTTCTCGGAGGACGAAGAGCTTGGACTTGGGGTTGAGTTTTGTAATGGAGCTGGAGAGGTCATTCTGACAGTCGAGGCTAACATGATTCCTGATCAGCACCTACGACACAGGTAGCGCATTGTTTACGGAGTTGAAGTGTGTTCGTGGCTGACCTACAGAAACTGCCATCGATTTGTGCCTCCCCTCGCCCTGTAGACATAGTAGGGATCCCAGGTGAATATCGGCCACAGAACATCTGGCTCGAGATCTAGCGCGGCCTTCAGCGCGGGAGAATCGTGAAGTCGGAGGTCTGTTCGGAACCAATACACGACCCTTGGTTTGGTCATGATACCTGCCGCCTTGTCTTAATGCGTGTTTTGAAGGTTGTCCAGATGGAAAAGGTCTTTTGCTGATTAATTTCGCCAATCTGAATATATGTATGAAGTAAACTGGTGTTTGAAACAAGACTCAGATGTACGATCAAGACATGTTTTTATATAGCGTATCAATGCTCCATTTTTCCCCAAGAACCTGCATGCGTGTAATACTGGTAAAAAGCAAAAAGTAAAACAAAAAAAAAGGGAAGAAAATAAGGAAGAATGATAGTCATGATGTCAGCACGCTGGTGTTCCTCAAGATGCTCAAGCGGCTGCCGCTTGGCCTGGATCGATGGCATCTAAGACATCAGAGGCGGGTAAGCTTTAAAGGTGCGGGTGGAAAGGGGCCCACTTCTGCAGGGACTGGGCGAATGACGTGGGGAAATGGTTGGGTTCCTGGAGATCGAGGCCAGCAAGACCAGCAGCTAGCACCGGCAGTTTGCGAGATTGAGCACTCGAGATCTGTTGTCATGGTTCCTGCCCACTTGCTCAGCAAAGGCCAGCAATACTTACTGCTACTAGTAAATTGTGTGCGTGGCGTTGTGAGCCTATTTATTCCGAATTGGTACGAGCAAACCTCAAAATTGTCTATTGCGATAGAAGTCTGTGCTTCACGTGTCCACGCGCGTTCACCATCTCATCTCATAGCCGGAAAGGCAGTCAGCCGTTATCAGAAAGAGACAAAAATAGCGTTCAAGCATAGCCTTTGAGCCAGCACGTCCATGTTGGTTCAATCATGCGTCGTTCAGCCATCGCCGCCACTGCAGCCGTGCAGCCATGCGGCCATGCGGCCATGTCCTGGTCACGGTCTTGGTCACGGTGGATGACGAGGAAGAGAACCAAGGTCAGCAAGCACACTTCAACACATTGCATGACAATATAGTACAACTTTTGATTGCCAGTCAGTCTCTGGCACCCACTCGCACCAAAGCCAAGGTTGACCGACCCTAGAAGCCCCCACCATGGCACTCGCTCGCTGCCCACTTCATCGCGAGCATAAGCAACGCCAAGCATCACAATATTGTAGAATCTATGTTGTAGAATCTATGTACGTCACTACGGAGTGCACTGGGCTAATCCAACACCGGTCTCGATGTCAATATTGACATTCTGCGGGGCCGAGTGTTGTTGTCGCGCCCTGTTGCCGGTCCCCAAAGGAGGACTGTTTTACTCTTGAAAGAACTACGCAGTAAACAATCAACCATGAAAATGTCCCTGGGTGTGGGGTAGTTCATCATGAGATGAATTGTCATCTTGATTGTGATCAGCAAATGACTGACCATTTTTTTGACTTTTTCTTCTCCTGGGGCATTTGCCCACTTTACCAACACACACTTTGTCTCGGCGGTAAATGGCGGATGACAGACAGTCAACCGTCTCCCACGGCCCAGCAGCCCTATGTCCGTGTCGTAATTTCTGGGCTGCAGCCAAGCAAGAATCAAGAGGCGTATTGTGCATCGTGCATCGTATTGTGTCGGTTGAACGAAGCGGCTTCCAAGGTTTGGCAACCATCAGCTGGCGGGGTTTGTGGTGTAGTCCAATTTCATCCATGTACGGAGTTATTGATGCCGCCGTTGCGACGCGTCGAGTCGAGGTAAGCTGAACTAGGCCTAGCGACGCGTCAAGGACGGCTTAGTTTGTTGGTTTGGTTTGTAACGAATGATGACACCGTATCACCGTTTCCGTCGTCATCGCCTTGGTATGATGGACGACGGCTGTCGTCGAGGCAATTGAGCATAGAAACATGAATGATGAAAGTAATCAGGGTGGTTGTTTGCAACGGCCAAGTGGACACGACGCAATACTGATGCAGGGCGCTCAAGTGGGCAGTAGGAACATTGAAAGTCCACGAGGGCACGAGGACATATCATATACTCGAGGTATTACGACCTCGCACTTGCACCTATTATTACTCCATTCTACAGGTAAAAAGGAGTACTCCGTAGTTATACACATGTCGCACATGCATAATTGATCCTGCAATCTACCTTTCTACTAAGTAGGCATGGTATGTTGGGAGGGAGCAAGAATCTTTGTTTGACCACCTGGGCAGGCAGTGCTCTAGCTGTCGCGGGCTGTACCGTGACAAACAAAACTTGTCTGCTAGGATTGCAACGGCAGCCTGTGTACACGCAGATTATCATGTCAGAGATGCATTACATTCCGCCTTCCCCCCTGCTTGTAAGCAATGAATTGGTACAAACTGTTCACTTTCAATCTGGCTTCCGAGCTTGGCTGTACCGGCCGGGCTAGGAACCAGGTTCATCGATCCTGTGGGACTACAACACGTGCTTCCTCCGGCTTCTTCCATTTTAAATTGGCAACCAGCCAGCCAGTGGGACATCCGTAGTTTCCAAGTACTATATGCAGTTGCAGAGTTTTGCATGGCCGTCAGTGGCTTGAAGTACATGTGGTGCTCACACGACGTTTGAACTCTGTATGTGATGAAAAATGCAGTGACATTTGTTGCACCATGTCAACAACTGTTGATCCTTTCCACCCAGTTCCGGCAAACACTGTGGCCATCATTGAGGCCAGCCACCGCGGAAAGTGTTTAGGCATGGCAGGAAAATATTTGCATTGTAGTTCCAGCTCGTGCGGCCCCGGAAAAAAAAAGAAACTGCATCATCCGGCTATGTGCTTGTTGTCTTGTTTTTGTTTTTGTTTTTGTTTCTGTTTCTGTTATAAGTTGTTTATTGACTAGGGTGGTCTTGGTGGCAATTTGTGCATTGTTTGCCTAGGAGCCCGTGAAACATGGCTCAGTGCTTACTAGAGCGCGCGTGCAACGGAAGGTTGCCGCCTAGCAACGTGCTGAAAGACGACACCTGCTCCGGTAAAGCCGCCCAAACTCCAGCGGGCTCCAGCGGGCTCCAGCGAGTCGCAATAAAAACTTGTGCCTAGATCCGGGCTAGTGCCCCACGAGCCGCCGCGAGGCTCCACGTAGGTTTTGGTGTTTCGTGACTGCTTTCCTCTGTTCCTTTGGAGCAAGGGAGGAAAAAAAAAATCAAACCACCTGCTCTGCCTCCCACATTGGACTTGGGAAGGATCTGCGCTTTGTGTTTTGTTGCAGTTTTTGAAACGTCAGGTTGCCAGAATATAGAGCCTAGCTGCTCGTGCGCGCCTGACATCCCCATGCTGCGTTTCAACTGTGCGCCCACCAGTAGCATGGAGTACCGAAGCGTCAGGAACAGGCATCGACTTGATGTCTCCAACCGGATGTTGGTTGAGTGGGAAGGAGCAGTTGGGACGCTGGTTGCTGGTAGAACTCACTGAGGTATCCGATACTTGTTCATATACGGGTTCTCGGCTGCCAAACATGTATAGAGTACGCAGCCGGCATGTCCAACAGGCTTCTGCCGTCTCACGTCCTTGTTTCCTCTTTGCGCCTCCAAGTGGCTCCTTCCCCGCCTGCCAACGGCCTGGCCCACAACACCCCCGGTTATGGGTCCCCAAATGCAAGGAAGCTTGTTCCTGGTCTTGCCTGGTTGCTTGCAGCAGAATCCGGTCTCTCGATCTCACTGGCTGAATTGAGGAAAAGGTGCTCGAGTGCACAATGCCGTACAAGCATCCTCTCTGACAAGATGCTTGCACGCGACGGTTCCATGTGCTTCTGACGCGTTTACTCGCAGCTGAGGGCTTTTATTCTTATTAGTTCATGGGTATGACCAACAATTGGCCTGCTTCGTTTGGTCGATATTCTTTCCCTTCTTCCATTCCTTCATTTCTGTGATACTCGCTCTTACACCTTAAACCGACGACGGTCTGATTATTCTACAATCCAGTACCCCGGGTGTTCATGACGCCTTGCCTTTAGTTTGCCTCTGCGTACTTCCGGTGGGACCACAACACACTTACTCGTCGTTCGGAGAAACCAACGACGCCAGGGTCTTTGTCACAATTGTCGTCGGTGCTCTTTTCTTTGTGTGACGGCCGGTACCAGTATTTGTGGTCATCCTCTGCCAAACAAGTCTGTTTGCACCACACGTACATACAATACTCTGCCAACCGCCGCCCTGTCACCACCTCTTTCCAACAGAACTTGATGGTCAACTCGCTTGCCATCCCTTACGATTGCGGGACTGGCATCTTTCTACATCTGCGGTGGAGTCATCGTGACTTGATGGCTCCCACTTACACTCCAATTCTGTGAGAAAGTCGACGACGGTTCGAAGAAAACGGCCGCCCATATCAGACTTTTACGGATCCGACAAAAGCTACGTTACCGTGTGCTCCCGCAGGTGATTGGGCGCCGCGGCCACAATCGTGCTGTGTTGGGGCGGATTCTTTTCTATTCCCTCTCTTCGAGGCTTTGACAGCCTCCTCCTGCTGGCATGATGCTCCGCGCCGGATTTCTACTCATCGTCGCCGGAACTCTGGCCGTTCTTGCAACATCCGTTACAATTTGCCTCGAAATCATTTCGTGTGTGCATGCAGCAAAAAATTCCAAGTTGCTCATAGCAAGCAGCACGGCTGCCGCCTTAGAGTCCGTCGTCCTGCTTATACTTGGTGCACTCGGCATAGCACAAGTTGTACCAACAAAGGTGCCCCTGTCATGGAAGTGTTCTTTACCTGCATTTATAACTCAACTCTCTGCTTGGCTAGCTGCCCTGGTAGCTTCTGCAGTCGCTTTGACCTACTTGCAGGAGTGGTGGACACAGCTCGAAGTAGACGACGAGATCGCTGAAGAACGTGGGAAAGTCTTCGTCGGTTCAGCAATAGTTGTGGCCTTTGCTACCGCTCTCCAGCTTGGTTCCATAGTATTGCACTTTGCGACAAGTCGAGATGTTACTGCTGGAACGGCTTCATCCTTTCATTCAAATGAGGAGGGCCGCAAAATGAATATCAAATCCGTTCGATACAGCCGAACAATTGTTGGGGCCGCTCTCCAGGAAACGACATCAGTAAGAAGCAATGAGTCTTCGCCGCCCGCGCCGGAAAGCTCAACCATGGGGCCAATTGACTACTTGAAGGCATCCATGTCTCAAGCCATTCGACCTACAGCATCCCGAACCAGATTTTTGAAGAGTGGGCGACGAAGAGCGACTTCACTGGGCTCGGAGTATCCCCGTAAGAGCACAGATACGTCTTTTGATTCTTGGGACACTTCATCTGTGGACGCGCACAATCGTCAAGTTGTCATAGAGATGTCATCTCCCGCGACACTCAAGAGGAGTTTGGAGACGATTCCGGCTAGCCCATCTGGGAGCCGCTCTCCCACCCGGCCAGGCACTCCTCTCGATATGGAGCTGGAGCCTCCTCGTATGCTATATAGAGCAGAGAGTTATACCTCGAGCGTACTATCACAAGAAGATGCCCACAGGCTTACCCCCGACAGCTCTGTGAACGAGGCACATATTCACCCACTCTTTCGATCTGATTCCCCAACGCCACCTCCCGCTGCAAGTCCCGGCACAGTGGTCTTGGCTGCGCCGAATGCCGGGCAAGTCATCTCGTGCAAGACTAGCATGCAATCCATGAGACGTCTACGAAGTGGAAGCTTGCCTGCGACGCCTAGCCCTCTTATTCATCAGGCCAGCTTCGACACCCTGAAACACTCCAAAATGGGAGATGACGGCGATGTTGGGCGAAAGAGTTCTGGCGCACAAAGCGAGCGCAAAATGACACCACCTGTGCCTGAGTGGCTGCTGAGCCCGTCTATGAAGGCCAGCCTGGAATCATTCAAGGAGCAAGAGGATGACGAGGAGACATAATGAGGGGACAGAAATGAAGTGACGATCATTGACCTTTTCTTTGTACGCATGACTGTGAGCGATTTGACTTGAATATTCTTTTTTTTCTTTTCCTCTTTTGGGTTTGATGGGGATACGATATTGAGGTGCGAACCTCATCATGTTGATATGACTTTGGGTATAATTGGTTGATTTGTACAAAGAGCGAGGCGTTGTATTTAGATGACGGGTCATGTAATTTTTATTAGCGGTCATTGCTGGAGAATCCAGCGGTGGGCCACGAGGCAAAAAATCAAATGATATTCAAAACTATCTAGTAGACATACTTTCGGGTTTCATCCACTGGTGAAAGCGATGCAAGTCGGAGATGTATTTGGCGCAACTGGGCGCCGCCGCCAAAACTGGCAGTCTTCAGCGCCGCCACAGCTCTGCGCAGCTGTGAACCCGGTGTTCCTGTAGTGTTCAGCTATTGCCGTGGCTAGTACTAGAGAGGTAGTTGGTTATCCTAAGATCCCCCAAGTCTGCACGACGGTTGCGAGGCGGGGTCTTGCACCTTGCGTGGCTCCAACTTGGACATTGGTCTGGACAGTCCTCGTGGTTGAAGCAGCACGACATGCTGGCTGACAAGACCAGACCCCACCTCGACAGACTACCCAACCCACAAAGAGCCACCAGCGTCGAAGTCGGTCTTTAGCCAACCATTGCTTCCGTCATCGTTGCCATCTTTCTCTCCTCCAACCTCTCCGACCTCTACCCTCTTGCCTGCACAGATAATTCGCCTGAGACCTAGATCTCACTGACGACTCTTCTTCCATCGCAGCTGTCGAGCTGCGCCTCTTCTGCCCATCATGAAGGTCACGTTCCGAGTATGCCTCATCCACACCCCCCCGCCACCGCTGGTGCTTATTTGATTGGAAGCTGTTTTGGGTACATTGGTCTGAAGCTGTGTAGCCTGGCTGCCCGCGCCGAGGTGCATCATGGAAATGTAGCTGACTCTTGGTCTATTTGCGCAGGATCTGAAGCAACAGAAGTTCGTCCTCGAGGTCGAACCCACCTACCTGGTATGTCTCATCTGCCACGATACCTAGGCCGTTCCGATGTCGACCGTATCAACCACACACGCCGTGACTGACTCGAATATGTCGTAGATCTCGGCTGTCAAGGAAAAAATCTCCGCAGAGAAGGGGTGGGACCCTAAGCACCAGAAGCTCATTTATTCCGGTTCGATACATGGCCTGCTCGATGATAACGCCTTGGCGAACTGGATTTTCTGACAAGGTTTAGGCAAAATTCTGAAGGATGATGAGACCGTCGCTTCTTACAACATCGAGGAGAAGGGCTTTGTCGTCTGCATGGTGAACAAGGCATGTTTGTTTTCGAGTCAATTGCGCCGCTGCTTTAACCAAACTGGAAGGCTAACATATCTTCAGCCCAAGGAGAAACCAGCCCCTACCGCTGAGTCTTCAGCTGCTGCTGCTCCTCCAGCCACACCCGCACAGCCTGTTGCCAGTACTCCTGCTGTTCCAGCTGCACCCGCTCAGTCCTCCACTACTCAGTCCGCCGCCCCGGCCACGCCAACTCCGCAACGTTCTGGAGAAGCTGGGGGGGAGACAGGCTCAGGCTTGGCTATGGGTGCTGAGCGTGCTGAAGCCATTACCAACATGGAGGCCATGGGATTTGAGAGGAGTCAGATCGAGGCCGCCATGCGCGCTGCCTTCAACAACCCTGACCGTGCGGTTGAATATCTCTTGAATGTGAGTGATGGGAGGACCACACAATGATATGATGATGACAGACACACATCTGATAAGTCTCAAAGGGCATTCCTGAGAACATTCAACAAGAACAACATGCTCGCCAGGCTGCCGCAGCTGGACCGACGCAGGCCGCCCCTGCCGCTCAAGAGGGCGGAGAGGATGATGGTGGTGTCAATCTCTTCGATCTTGCCGCTCAGGCTGGTGGTGGTCGCGGAGGAAGTGGTAGTGGCAACGCGGCTGCTGCTGCTGCGACTGCAACCCAGGGTGGTGCAGATCTGAGCAACTTGGATTTTCTCAGACATAACCCTCAGTTTCAGCAGCTCCGCCAAGTTGTTCAACAGCAGCCTCAGATGCTCGAGCCTATTCTGCAACAGCTTGGCGCCGGTAACCCTCAACTTGCACAGCTGATTGCCGCCAACCCCGACCAGTTCCTCTCGCTTTTGGGCGAAAGCGCCGACGACGACGTTCCCCTCCCCCCCGGCGCCCAGGCTATTTCTGTCACAGAAGAAGAGCGGGATGCTATTGAGCGGGTGAGTTGGATGCAATCTGCCGAGATCTGGTGCAGATATGAAGTGCTAACGGAATATAGCTGTGTCGTCTTGGTTTTGATCGTGACCAGGCCATCCAGGCCTATTTTGCATGTGACAAAAACGAAGAACTCGCCGCAAACTTCTTATTCGACCAACCTGATGACGATGAACCGCCTACCAACTAAGATGGCTGGCATTGGTATGGCAGGTACTGGGTAGAGGACAATGACAACGACGGTGGAAGCAGAAGCACTCACGAACGCTTGTTATGATTATGAAACAAAACTCCGAACGAGGTTAATGACACTAGCCGCTGGGGAGGAGTTTAATATCACGATTCCAAAGGGAGGTGAAACGCGGGGATGGAGATTTTGCTGGTTAACTACACAGTTACAATGTTGGAGAGCCCATTTTTTTTAACAAGAAGTGAGTTAGTGTGGAGGATGATATGTTTGCAAGTGGCAATCAATGTTTGAGGTGCTGGACTGCATAGGCACTTAGGTTGACATATTGGCCTAGAATATTTCGACAGTGAATGTTATTGCAGTCTTCGCAAAGCCATCTCGCAGTTACTACTGTATGGAAACGTACCGTATCTTGTTCTAATCTCGTCGTGCGAACGCATTCAGCTGTATAAGACTGCTCCTGCTATGACCTGCTAACTCCGTGCTTGATTCCGTGTTAACATCAAGAATCTCTCGTGGGTATCATGTATCCCTCTCCCCCTGGGTCCGTCGCTACATGAGAACATGTATTCACGCCAATGAGCAATCCTCAATCCTCTGTGATTGGCTCGCCATTTAAACCGTACTGAACCGTCTTCTTTCCCTTCTTCTTGCCCTTCCCTTTCTTCTTGAGCCCGCCATCCTCGCCGTCCTCGTCCGCAAACAGCTCCTCCTTCTTCTTTCTCATAATCTCCGCCTGTTCATCTGCCACCCTCTGCCTCTCCGCCTCGTACGTCTCCTGAATCTTGCGGTGCTCCGCCTCAATCGACTCCAAGGATTCGTATTCCGCACCTGTGAATGCGCGGTACTCGTCAATGTCCATCTTTATAGTCTTCTCACCGGTGAGCGCGGCGTCAATGAGTTTCGGGTTGTGCCGTTCCTCGCGGTTGAATTTGAGTTTGACGTGGCGGCGCTGTTTGCCGGGAAACATTTTGGAAATCATTTCGAACTCTGTGCCGAACATGCGCAGGCCGCGGTAGAAGAGCTCTGTCTCGGGATCCGTCCAGACGTTGGGGCCCCTGAGCTTGGAGGTGTTCATGAATGAGGACGAGGTGATGAGCCGTGTGAAGTCGTTTTCTTCAATGGTTTCCATGTCCTCGTTTGCGCGGGCGGCGGCGGCGCGGGCGTGCCGGTCCATGACGAGGGAGGACTGGTCGACGATGATTTGGCCGTCGACAATACGGAACTGAGGACCGGCTGGGGGGGGGG